TGCTTGGCCTGCTGTGTTCATCCAGCTCTACACCTTGTTATCTCAGATTCTCCAGCATCTGCAGTTCCTACTATCTCTGAAACTGTTTAGAAATTTAGGTATCTCAGTTTAAATTTAGCGTTCACAGTATATTTTTGAATTAGGTATGAATTGGGTATGACCAGCATCACTGATGAGGACTATATCATGCTGTTGTTTAGCTCATGTTAAATGTACTAAAATTTCTAATACAGTGTACATTTCTCTATATCTTGAACTTTGAGGCTTTAAACTCTAAAAATCATTGACTCAGTTAATGCACAAAACAAAATTTAAATATGATGAATTGGGTGATGTGGCCCGCTACTTGTAGAAGTAGCTTTTTGCACTTAACTGTAATAATGTGAAACTTTTCCTATTTTCAACAGCAAGAAATACTTTACCAGTATCCATTGACTAATGTATCCCAAAAGTTGATTAATGTTCGGGGAATATTTCTCACGCTCTGCGACATGCTGGAGAATATAACTGGGGCACAAATTATAAGGTAATCACAACTCGTCACTTCATTATTAGAATGAAAGATCTATGTAGTTACTTGTTGAGCTTCTGTTAATCAATAGCTGTTGATTGATCACTGTGAAACTATTTTTATTAGCGGTTCTCCAGTCAACCATTTTGAGTTCAAGGGCAGGAATCGTGCAATATGAGGCTTTTTTTTCTCAATATCTAGAATGTATATGTGATTTATTCTCATTTAGCATGCTGTATTTCTTCATTGATCACAGTTGCTTGTGGGTATTTCATAAAGCATGATATGACTAAAAACACACATATGTTGCACACTGTAGATTTGTTGGTTCTTTATAAATCAGCTAAGGGATCAGAAGAATTTAAATTAATCTGTTTTAGTGTAAGTGTTTCTCATTATTTAATTCTACTTTGTAGAACACTTTGCAAACTTTATTTTAACCAATATATCTAAACTGAAGCGTTCTACAAAATTTGCACAAAAACGATATAAATCAGTTCAGGACACTCAAACAAACAATGTATCAATGTTCACCTGTAGATTGATATTATTCTATTCTTGTCTATTATGGCAAACCAAACTGATGGAAGATGTTGGTTTGTGACAGAATATTTAAAAGGCCTTCTGCAATACTATTGCTTTCTTTTCAGCAGCTTTTATAGGATAAACAAATCAAAGATACATGGAAGAAAATTAGCACTGTTTCATCACAGCACCAGGGACCCGAGTTCAACTTGGTGACTGTGTGTTCAGAGTTTGCACATTCTCCTCATGTCTGCGTGGGTTTCCACCGGGTGCTCTGATTTCCTGCCACAGTCCAAAGATGGATTGGCCATGCCAAATTTCCCTGTAGTGTAGGTTAGATGGATTAGCCATGGTAAATGCAGGAAGTAAGGTTGGGGGCTAGGTCTGTGTGGGATGTTCTTCGGAGGGTTGGTACAGACTCGATGGGCCGAATGGCCTCCAATTTCACTGTTGGGATTCAATGATTCTATGAAAATTGTAATGCATATGAAACTGCACACACCAACAAGATCAAGATGTTACAGGATCAGAATTAAAATAAAAACATTAACCTAATCTTTGTCAATACTATGCAATGCAAAGGAAATTTCAGTAGAGCAAATGTGCATATTGATCTTGTGGTTTCTGATGACTGTATTAAACAAGATCAGAACTTTCAAAATTGAAGTAAAACACTATGATCATAATGATCAGAGATCACTGTATGGTAAACTAAATGAAATATCACTCTGGCATCAGCATATATGCTAGTAGTTAATTGTACAAATCCACAAGCTGCTGTAAGAGATATCCTTTTGCTCCGCCGCCACACAATGTTCCTGATTATTCTGGTATAGTACTTCAATTGTTACTTTAAGATCCGTGTTCTTGTGGGTTAAGTGATGGACCTCTGATTCCGCCATATTTCTTGCTCTGTCTGCTTGTTGTTTTTCCAAATAGAATCTTTTACACTGACTCTGGAACTGAGCCATATGCACTAAGTTCAGTTCATTTTTCTGTGCTTTTTTTCTAATTCAGCTACCTGTCTGTCAAGGGCACTGTTGTCCTCCCAAAGGACATGATTGTATCTCTCTGCCTCATGCAGAAATCTGACTGAGTAGGCAATTACCAATGTCTTCTTGACCTTTTTTGCCTTTTTATCTAACCACCTTTTGGGTTCTTCCCAAAGTTGACTTCCTACAGGTCCCAGACCCTCTAGCAGGAGCTCATAAAACTTTGTACTATACAATCAGGCCGCCTGCCATCTAGGTACTTCTGAGGCATCTCAGACTAGGCTTCTTCCACGTGATGCATTGTGACCTGTAAATTTAGGAGGTGGTTCTAACTTGACTTTTGGCTGTAACGCGACCCCTTTAGCTCAAGCCCACCCAGGGACAGCAAAACATTGACTGTTCCCTTCCTGGATCATTGCTAGTGAACACAATGATTGCAGCCTGTACTGTTACAGCAACCTACTTCTTTATTTACCACTCAGCCAGTTTAACACTACAGCATAAAATCGTATGGGGGTTGGCATGGTGACTCAGTGGTTAGCACTGCTGCTTCACAGTGCCAGGGACCCAGATTTGATTCTAGCCTTGGGTGACTGTCTGCGTGGGTTTCCTCTGGGTGCTCCAGTTTCCTTCCACAGTCCAAAGATGTGGAGGTAAGGTGGAATGATCACGCTAAAATTGTCCATAGTGTCCAGGGATGTGCAGGCTAGATGGATTACCCAAGGGGAATGTGGGGTTATGGAAATTAGGGGAGGGGTTGGGTCTGGGTGGGATGTTCTTCAGCAGACTGGTGTGGACTCAATGAGCCAAATGGCCTGCTCCTACACTGTAGCAGTTCTGTGATACTATGAGTCTATGATTTGCGCTGCTAAAGGTAGTGTGCACCCAGTTACGAAGAAAATTGCCTCAGAATCACTATTGGCACTTAGGTATTAGCCACACTGATGAAGGATAGCTGGCCAGGCTTCAACCTCTCAGCTGGGTCTATCTTTCTTCTCTGAACCCCAAACTCAAGGTCCTGATTCTGCGAAGGCGTTCCTAGGTTTAGTTGCTGATGTCTTCAAAGCACTTACTTTTATATGTTTTCACTTGAAAGTTCCAGAACGTTCAACTCCCACCCAAGAGCTTTGTGACTCTAAAATCATCCATCCAAAAGTCATATAGACAAGATACATCTGTTACATTGTCCTCCCTTCTGTCTTTAATTTAGTACCTTGTAAACCACAAAGGTCAAGCAGCCTTTTAGTGCTCCTTATTACCAGGTTCCTGATTAATGAGCAGTGCCTGCCTCTGCCTTGCACAATAGGCTATTGTACCTGTGAAGTTGGCCACATTTTCCCATCATCCTTGTAGAGACTTAGCTATTAACCATTCTTGTTCAGTGTAGGAATTACGATGCAGCCATTTTGCTACAGACCCTAGAGAGTATGAAGTTTCTTGACGGGATGCATCGGAATTATATAGAGTAGCTTAAAAGGACCAACCGGTCCTTTTATTTGTCTAATGTTTTAGTATAATACTTGGTCATGTATATAACCAAAGAAAATCAAAAAGAAGTGTAATATTTATTTAAATGTTTTTAACAGTTTACTTTTGTGCAATTTTCTTGCCTAGTTCGTCATTCCTGCTGAATGGAAAACTTATTAACGTATGTTATTGGAAGGAAGGTAGCAATTTGTTGCTGATAGGACTACCAGCTGAAAGGCAAGTATTAACAAAATGTAGTTAATGCAGTGGAAAATCTTTTAGAAAAGGAATTTGCCTATTGATGTTTTGCACTCTAAAAGAATTGTATTCAGATGTTCAAAGCCCAAACGTTCAAACTGATGTGCAAACATACCCAAATCTATGTGGTTTACAGGATTTAGCTTTGTAAATACTAGGAGAGTTTTGAATGATTTGTGGCACTTAATAATAAAGGATTTGCTTTTGTTTTGAGTGCTTTTGGAACCAATGAAGTACTTTTGAAGTGTAATCATAGGTTTAATATAGGAAACAATTGACTGTTTAAGCTACCTGAATTCCTGCACCATTGCCTCTGATTCCCCATACCTTCCTTATATTTTATTTATCTACTGTGTCTCAGTGACATTATCCAAAAACAGTGTTCCAGATATATATGCTGTTAGTACTCAACTGTGTCCCATCATCACCATCGCCTCTCTGAGCACCTCCACTGCATCTGATTTGTCCAATATCCAGTACTGAGCAGTAAAAGTTTCTTCTAACTCAATATTGAAAAGATTAAATTAATTGTCTTGCTTGGCCTCCCACCTGGCACCTTACATGTACTTGAGTCAAAATAAACCACTGGCTAATTTACACCGTGTCCCCTTGCCCGTCTGCTCTATTTGTTGACGTATGTTGACTTCTCTTTCATCGAGATTTATATTTTAAAGTGATCATCCTTGTTTTCAACCATGGTGTCATCCTTCCCTATATACGTAAACCCATTAAGGCCTACAGTGGTCTGTGATTTCTTCACTTATCCAAATCTGACCTGTTGCATATCCCTAATTTTCAATGCTCCACCAATTGGAACTGTGCCTACAACTGCACAGGCCGTTAATCTGAAAGTACCTTCCTAAAGACACCATCTCTATCCATTTATCTTTGTCCAGTACTCTATCTCTCTCCTCCTTTATGGCATTTCTTACATGTTCCTCTTCAACCAAAATTTTAGTTCTCAATCCTAATATCTCCCTATATGTCTGTGTGTCAAATTTTGTTTGATAGCACTCTTATGAAACACCTTGGAATGTTTTGCTGCATTAATGATGGTATATAAATGGTTGTTACCCATTTCTCCTCCTCCTCCACAAGTTTTGAGTGATAGCTTTCTTTCCTTACAAAAGCAATTATTAGTCTTTCGAGCATTTCCACATGCTAAGTTAACAGATTGTTCTTTCCTTCAAAGGGTACCTCTTCCACAGCTCAGGAACATGATCAAGAATGTTGTGAGAATCTTGCAGTTTATGTACAACTCATTAGACAGGCAAGTACGCAAACAAAATTGTGACAAGCATGATATAGATCATAAGTTCCAAATATGATTGAGTATTAATTCACTATAGAAAGTGAAACTATCTTGATACAGACGCAAATGAGTTGCCCCATTGTTTTGTAAGCTTGTGGAAACTTTGTCATGTTGAGCTGGGCAAACCTGTGTTCTTTTGGGGTGTGGTGACCGGAATTCCAAAATTTATTTTTGAATCTGCTGGTTGTTCTTTTAATTGGCTTATAAAGCATGATGGTTCATGACCAACACAAATGAAAATTAATGCCAGGATTTGCACATCACTGCCTACTTCAGTTTTGTATTTCCTGGAGCTTGACATTTTTAGCAAGGTGGATAGGTTTCTGAAGCCATTGTGGACGTAATTGGAAAGTAACATTTATAAGTCACATTGACCAGTGTTGTGAAAATGGTGGGATGAATCAGAGTATATCAATCACTGGATGAAACACTGTTCTGAATTTGGCACTATTGAGATGTACTTGTTCATTAATCTGTATGTTAGTTCACAGTTCAGTCATCTGATCAGCCTTTGAAGCAATGCAACAGATCTGCTAAGGCCACTTCAAAAGGCTTTTACTTAGTCAGCTATGAAAGCTTTATTTGATCAGTTATGCCATGGAATAACATCATGAATGCTTTACTGAGCTCCGAACCTCTGTTATGGGGTTCTTCAGGGGTTGTTGCTAAAGCCACCTGAGGAAGAGTGAGTTTTGTTTTGATTTACAGTTGTATGAGCAGTTATCTTATTGTAGAAGGGTTTTAAAAGGTTGTGTATTTGAATGACTGTTTTATGAGCTCCTAAGGGGTTTCCAGTTTGTTAGAGGTTTTTGAAAGGCTTTGTCATTAGTCGGATTATTTCATGAGCATTTCAAAGACATCTTAGACTTAGCGTAAGGCTTGTGAGGTCCTGTTTTGTAACTTCACAAATTGGTCCCTGACAGATGCTTTTGCAACAGGTAGACTGATGAGGATGAGATCTCTTAAGCTTTTCCATCGTTTTTGTTCCCTCACCACATGCTACAGAGGCAGTCTAGCAGCTATGTCCTTTAGGCTTTGGCCAGCTAAGTCAGTAGTGGTGCTGCTGAGCTGCTTTTGGTAATGAATGTTGAAATCCCCCACCTAGAACACAGATCATCCACAAACTCAGGCTTGATGATTCCCAGATAACAAGGTGTAGAGCCTGAAGAAGGGTCTCGGCCCAAAACGTCAGCTTTCCTGCTCCTCTGATGCTGTTTGGCCTGCTGTGTTCATCCAGCTCTACACCTTGTTATCTTAGATTCTCCAGCATCTGCAGTTCCTACTATCTCTTGATGATTCCTAGTTTTTTTGATTAATTGTCTTGCCCATGATCATATGAGCATTCAGTGTTCAGACCAACCAAAAATAGCTCAAGATGGAAATCAGTAGTGAATTTACTACTAATTATAATGATCTGTGATGGTTTGCTCATTTTCTAGACAAAAGAGCAGATGGCTTGGTATTTATTTACTCTTAGTTACATTAATGAAAGATTGAAAGTGACTTCTAAACATCTAAAATAATATTGCAGAAGTGATATTTGTATCAGTTATTGTAATTTTATTTTTGATTTTGTTTTTAATGTTCCGTTCTGCTTTTGAACAACTAATGAACCAGTTTGATGTTCTGCATTTTTAATTCTATGTCTTGTCCTCCTTCAGTGCCTTTTGCAAGCTGGAGAATGTTCCCCAGTTAGACCACTTTTTCAATCTGTACTTCCAACGAGCCATTCAGCCAGCTAAGTTAAACTGCAACGCAAGTCCCAGTTCCCAGTGTTACAGTATTTCAAGCACATTATTTTTAGACAGTCTGCCTGGAGTTCGGTGGCTTACGTTACCCCAGGGTATCAAAGTAAGTTAACTCTGTTCAAAGGACAATTGCAACCTTTGTGTGCAGTCAGAACATTTTGGTGCCCTATTTTGTTTACAACTTTTTCTTTAGACTTCAAATACATTTTATACGTTACATTATCATGTGAAAAATTCTGATATCATCTGTTGTGTTCATTAAACTGACTTCTGTAAAGTACAAAAACAGCAAGGCAAGGATTCCTCTGGTTATTGAGTAGCAAATTTGCAACTTAATTTATAAAGAATTTCTCTGTTCGGTCTTCCTAAAAAATATCAGAAGCTGTGAGAAATGTAGATAACTGTTTAGACAGACAAATAATAAAAAAAAAAGTTCCCAGCAAGAACTAATAACTTTTGGGCAATTGTAACTATGATTTTGTATTTAAATTTGTTTTCCCAGCCTGCATCCAACCTGTACCCTCTCCAAGTTTGAGCTTGTCCAAAACTCTTCTGTATATTTCATATCTCACCAAATCCCATTTTTCCATCCTCTTTGTGCTTGCTGATCATCATTTGGTTCTTGGACTGGCAACACCTGAATTCAAAAAGTCTCATTCTTGCTTTAACATTCTTCAAGCCTCATCTATTCCTTTCTCTGTAACCTTCTTCAGCCCATCAAGCCATTGAGATCGCTGTATTTTTTCAGTTCCGTGATCTTTGACAACTCTAATTTTAATTGTTGCATCAGTGGCAGCTGTACCTTCAGTGCTAAATTTATACCTTAAACCAGTGAATCCGTGCCGTGTGATCGCAGGCCATTCAGCCCATCAAGTCTGTGCCGACTCTCCGAAAGGCATCCTCCCCAGACTCCCTCATCCTGACCCTGTGGCCCTGCATTTCCCATGGCTAATCAACCTAGCCTGCACATCCCTGGGCACAATGGGTAATTTAACATGGCCAATCCACCTTGCATGCACTTCTTTGGACTGTGGGAGGAAACCGGAACATCCGGAGGAAACCCACACAGACCCAGGAAGGAAGTGCAAACTCCATACAGACAGTCACACGAGGATGAACAAACCCATGTCTCTGGTGCTGAGAGGGAGTAGTGTTAACCACTGGGCCATCATGCCGCCCCATTTATGTTCCTTATATTTTTAAATGTTCAACTTCAGTAATGTATTGCAACTTGTAGTAGAGATAGGGTCCAAGCTTTAAAAAAAAACTCAGAGGTGATTATTCAGCTATTCACAAGGAGGAGTTTCAGTCATGTGACAGCTGACTAGTGAAACTCAATGGGGACAATCTATGTGAACGAAGGAATTTCACACTTCCATTATCAAAGGTATTAAAATGGCACTGAAACAAATAGGGAAGTCTACAGTACCTTTTTTCTCACTGGTTTTCCCAAACTTCCCTTTGATCTCTGACAGTCCCTACAGGCAAGGAATGTATTGCACATTGTCAGTTTCAACCATCTTAACACAAGTCAGTTCCTTAGTAATGTGATTTACTCTGCTTATCTGCTTCCCCTCCTTAAAGTTATCCCCATCTCTTTAACCAGACTTTTTGGTCACCTGTACTGGTGGCTCTTCATGTAGCTCAGAGTTGCAATTATTTAAATTCAATTTTCTACTAATGACAAGTGGGCAATTAGTATTCTTCTGAAGATGCTTTCCATTTCATGACAAATATTGCAGTAGGATTGGAGGAAACCATCACTAACTTGTTAATAAGGTGTAGAGCTGGATGAACTCAGCAGGCCAAACAGCATCAGAGGAGCAGGAAAGCTGACTGTTATCTCAGAATCTCCAGCATCGGCAGTTCCTACTATCTCTGACTAACTTGTTAATGTTGTCACTGCACATAATAATCAAAAGACCTCACTAAGTTGCAAGGTCCATCAAACTTAGTTTTATTTATAATGATTGTCATGATTTGTTTGGGTTACTTTAAGCCTTCTGTTACAGTAGAAATATATAATTTTTGCTACTTTATAAACCAACTTATCAAGTGCAAAGTACTGAGCCTTGAAATGCCTGGAGAACATAGCTTTGTAATCTTATTATATCAACTCATGTTATGTGGTGTATATTAATTGTATAAATGAATGATCTTTCCATAACCAGAAAGTTTCAAGTGAGTCAATTTCATACCAGTTCGGTGTGACTTGTATGCATGCTTATACAGTTTCTGAGTATAATATCTTTTTTTTGAATCACATTTCCCATGTCGTTTTTCTTTTTAATGTGTTTTGCTTGAAAGTTACCATCTATGATATTCAAACTGATATCGTAATATTGTACCATCTCGGAGTAAATATCTAATAATATTAAAAATAATAAATCTCCCTTTTGCTATCAAAGGAAAATTCATTTAATGCATCCTCTTAAACATAAAGCTCCATAATTCTTGCACAAGATGATCTTCAAGGAACAAAACAAAATTGTAGATATAACACAATGTGGAGCTGGACGAACACAGCAGGTCTGGCAGTTTCAGAGGAGCAGGAAAGTTGATGTTTCGCGTCGGGACCTTCTTCAGAAACTGGCACTATCCTCCGCTTCTTCCTCCACTATTTTGACTGTATCGGTGCTCCTCATGCTCCCATGAGGAGCTTGAACAGTTCATCAACTTTACTAACACCTTTCACCCCAGCCTCAAATTCACCTGGACCATCTCTGATGCCTCCCTCTCCTTCCTGGACTTCTGTCTCCATCTCTGGTGACCACCTCGAAACTGACATCAACTTCAAGCCCATTGATTCCCACAGCTACCTGGACTACACCTCCTCTAACCCACCTTCTCGCAAGAATGCGATCCCCTACTCCCAACTCCTTCACCTCCGCCACGTCTGCTCCCGCTCCCAAGATGGGGTGTTCCACTCCCACACATCCCAGATGTCGTCCTATTTCAAGGACCATAACTCCCCCTCTCTGGTAGTCGAAAATGCCCTCAACTGCATCTCTCGCATTTCCTGCACTTCTGCCCTCACATCCCCTCCTCCCAACAAAAATAAAGACAGGATCCCCCTTGTCCTCACATAACCATAACATGTCATTCTCCGCCACTTCCGTCACATGCAATCTGACCCCACCCCTATCTGCCTTTCGTGGGGACCACTCTCTCCACGACTTCCTCGTCTGCTACACACTCCCCACTAACCCCACCACCCTCGGCACCTTTCCCTGCAACCACAGAAAGTGCTACACCTGCCCCTACACCTCCCCCCTCACCTCAATTCAAGGCACAAAACAAACCTTCCACATGAGACAGGGGATCACCTGCATATCTGTCAACTTGGTCTACTGCATCCGCTGCTCCCAATGTGGCCTCCTGTACATCGGTGAGGCCAAGTGGAGACGCAGAGACCGTTTTGTAGAGCATCTGCTCTCTGTACACGACAAATGACAACACATTCCGGCCGTGAACCATTTTAACTCTCTCCTCACCATCCCCCTCAACTCCCTGGGCAACACTTACATCCTGGGCCTCCTCCAGTATCACAATGACACCACCCACAAACTGGAGGAGCACCACCTCATATTCTGCCACGGGACCCTACAGCCTGATGGCCTAAACATGGATTTCACCAGTTTTAAAATTTCCTCACCCCCAGCCTCATCCCTTATCCAACCCTCCCTCTCATTCCTGCCTCCTTGACCTGACACAACCTGTCCATATTCTCTCCCACCTATCCGCCCATCCCATCCCACTGATCAATCCCCACCACTCCCTACCTGGACTCACCTATCACCATCTCACCTACCTTCCCCAGCTCCACCCCTCCTCTATCTCTTTATTTCTGAGCTCCCTTCCTCCTCCCGACCTGAAACATCAGTGTTCTTGCTTCTGTGCTGCCTGGCCTGCTGTGTTCCTCCAGCTCCACACTGTGTTACGTCTGACTCCAGCATCAACAGTTCTTGCTATCCCAAAAAAAATTGTAGAATTTTTTTGTAATCTACAGTGCCACTCACTGGCCTCTTACTGCTATTGCATCTTATTTATCCCAAGTCCTTTGCAAAGCACTGTAAAGAAACAGTTATAGAGATCTACATTACAGAAAAGGGCCCATCAACACATCGTGTCTGTGCCAGTCAAAAATAACCATCTAACTATTCTAATCCCATTTTCCAGCAGTTGGCCCATAGCCTTGTAGCCTTGGCATCACGTGCACACCTAAATACTTCTTTAATGTTACGAGGCTCTCTGTGTCTACCACCTTTACAGGCAGTGAGTTCAGATTCCCACTACCCTCAAGGTGCAAAAGTTTTTCATCACATCTCCTGTAAAGTTTCTGCTTCTTACTTTAAATCTTTGACCCCTTGTCATTGATCCCTCCATCAAGGATAAAGTTTCTTTCTGTCTATTCTGTCCATGGCCTTCATAATTTCATACATCTCGATCACGCCCCTGTCAATTTTCTCTGCTGTAAGGAGACTGTCAGACTGTCTAATGTCTCTTCATAACTGAAACATTTGTTTGTCATTTATATAAATGAGCTACATGAGAATATAGAAAGCATGACTAGTAAGTTTGTGAATGACATGAAAATTAGTGGTATAGTTGACAGTGAAGGATGTTATCTAAGATTACAAAGAGATCTTGATCAATTGGGTCAATGAGCTGAAGATTGGCAGATGGAGTTTAATTTGAATAAATTTGAGGTGTTGCATTTTGGTAACACAAACAAAGGCAGGACTTATACAATTAAAAGTAGGGTCTTGGGTAGTATGTAGAACAGAGAGACCTAGGGGTTCAGGTACATAAATCTTTGAAGTTTGTGTCACGTATAGACAGGGTGGTTAAGAACGCATTTAGCATGCTTGCCTTCATTACTCAGACCATTGAGTATAGGAGTTGGGACGTTATGTTGAGGTTGCAGTTGGTGAGTCCTCTTCTGGAGTACTGTACTGGAGTACTGTATTCAGTTGTGGTAGTCCTGTTATAGGAAGAATATTAATGAGCTGGAGAGAGTTCAGAAGAAATTTACCAGGATGTTGCCAGGTATGGAAGGTTTGAGTTATAAGGAGAGGTTGGATAGGCTGGGACTTTTTTCACTGGAGCATAGGGGGTTTAGGGGTGATCTCATAGACGTTCATAAAATCATATGGATTATAGATAAGGTGAATGGCAGGTGTCTTTTCCCTAGGGTGGGAAATTTCACGACCAGGGGCCATATTTTTAAGGTGAGAGGAGAAAGATTTTAAAAAGCTGCAGGGGACGACCTTTTTACACAGAGTGTGGTTCTTGTGTGGAATGAACTTCCAGAGGAAGTGGTGGATGCGGGTACAGTTACAACAGCCAAAAGACATTTGGATAAGTACATGAATAAGGAATGTTTGAAGGGATAAGGGCCAAACACAGGCAGATGGGGCTACTTTAGTTTAGGATTATGGTCAGCATGGTCTGGTCGGACCAAAGGGTCTGTTTCTGTGCTGTATGACTGTATGACATCCTGGTCAATCGCTTCTGCACCTTCTCCAGTGCTATCACGATCCTCCTATAATATGGATTCCAGAACTGCACACAATACTGTAGCTGTGGCCTAAGCAACTCTTTTTATACAGTTCCAGCATAACCTCCCTGCTCTTAAACTCCATCCCTCAACTAGTAAGGACAAATATACCTTATGCCTTCCAAACAACTTTATCCACCTGTCCTGATACCTGAAGGGACCGGTGCACACGCACACCAAAGTCCCTCTGATCTCAATTCAGTGAATATTTCATTAAATGGGGATAATCCAACTTATGTCTTTTCAGTGCAAGCATGATTAATTAATCAAGGAAGATTTCCATGCTTCTGAGAAAATCTTGGATCTGAAATGCGTTTTTCATTTTGCTTTGGTGTAGTTTTGTGGAATGTATGTTTGAATGTATGCATTTAAATCTATTTTGATTTTAGTTTGAGAGTGGGAAGGAGAAGTCTATAGTCTTGTTGATGGTTTTGCACCATTTAGCAATTCCTAATAAGAGCTTAAAATGGTATGGCTCGGAGAGAAAAGGGTCACGAAGACCACTGATTCACTTGTTACACTATCATGTAATCCTGAACGTGGACTTTGCTGTAGTCAGTCTCCTGGGAAGAAAAGTTCTTCATTAATACTTTAACAAAGGAGAACTCCAGAATTGCTGTCACCTCACTTGAGCAATCTCTGACTTTTTTTTCAGAAAACGATGTCCCAAGTGGATATCAGAAATCTTTCTGGTTGGCACATTCAAGCTTTTTCTCTTTGTGATCAACACAAGTGTTTACTGTGGAACTCAAAGCCACGTATGAAGTCACTGTTATTCAGTAAATTGCAGATATCTCAGGTTGCTCATACTGACATTGCTTAGTGTTTATTCAGGATTTATCAACCAGTGAAATACTCCAAAATACTCCAAAACAAAAAAAAATTGGAGAACTTCTGCTGATCTGGCAGTATCTCTTAAGAAAAAACAGAGTTAACATTTTGAGTCCAATGATCCTTCTTCAGAACTAGGAGCAGCTAGGAAAGTGTGATATTTATACTGATGATGGGGTATGGGGTTGGGGTGTGGCAGGGGAGGGGTGGGAGGGAAAAGGAGTGAATGGATAGGTGGAGACAGCACAGAGAGAGAGTGAGAGAGACAGGACAAGAGGTGTGCAGATTTCACATTGTAAACCAGGAAAATAGAAGCTAGATACATGATAATAAGGAGTAGTTGAAAATATGTTGGTTGTGCTGAAAGTAACCCATTTCATAACAGGATCTGGAGTTGTTGGGGTGGGTTATAGATAAGGGCAGGACGCGTTCAGGCTCTGAAATTGTTAAACTCGATGTTGAACCCTGAAGACTGTAAGGTACCAAAGCGGAAGATGAGGTGTTGTTCCTCCAGCTTGCATGTTGCCATGGGTACATGGTGGTTTGTTGAAGTGGTAGGCAACTCGAAGTTCAGAGTCATTTTATGGGCAGAAATGTTAACTCTGTTTTGTCTCCGCAGATGCTGCCAGACCTGCTGTGTTTCTCAAGCAATTTCTGTTTTTGTTTGTTTCAGATCTCCAACATCCGCAGTTCTTTGAGTTACTTTCTAATATAATAAAACAATCTGTAAGCCCATGAAATCTGAGCTAGGAAATCGTAAACAAATGAGATAATTCTCTGGTGGATTAATAAGTGAGGTGTGGATTGTCTGAAAATTTACCACGCTTGTTATAAGCTTTTGTTGCTAAGTTCTATGGAAGTGCTCTCGCAAACCCTTGCAACAGTTGAAGCTTTGTGCTTTAAACTAATGATTGTTTCAAGGACCTTTAACTGAATTGAAGCTTAACTAAAGTCAGTTTTAGATAACTTTGTTTTATCTTGAGCTATTTCGGCGAAATTGTTGCTTGCTTCCTCTCTCGTGTGTCCATTTTTTTCCAAGATGTTTTCAGCTTCCACCTTTTTGGCTTCCAAGCAGCAATATTATTTGCTCAAGACAGTGGTTCACTTCTTAGAACTTTAGAAAAACAGCCCACAGTAACTTGCATTGAATTTTAAACCCTTCCTGAAGAGTAATTCTTGCTTTTCCATAGCGGAATGATTGTGATTAGTAAATAGTGGATTTTTAATTCTGCACCATACTACAGTTGACTATTTTTAATTTCTGGATTTTTCTACATTTTCGTCTCAATTAACTAACTGTATTCCTCTGTGCACACAGTTAATTAATAGCTTTCAATCAAACAACCAGCCAGACATACCATGTTTGTGAAGTATAAACCTGGAAGAGTTTTAAGGAGGACAGAGTATCTGTTCTTTCCCTTTTTCCCCCCCCCAACCCCATGTCCCTGCGGTCACCACAGTGTCAATGCAACTGTCCAGCAGCAATAATATGCTGTAGGCAGCCTTAATAGAATCAAAGTGGAAATTCTGCCCCTCCTGGGGAAGGAAGTCCTCATTAGCACACTGCCAGCCAATCTCACTGGCCAATGCCTTCTGAAGAGATTAACGACTACAAGCAATCCCTTGGGAGATGTGAAGGTGTGTTCCAGATATCAAGTAAATCCAGGGATTTTGGATGAACCTGCTTTGCAGACCCCGAGATGGGAGGAGGTAGGGAAGAGGGAAAAGGGGCATCTAATGGGAATGTCTTCCATAGAAGATATACCACCTTAGTGCCGTCCAGCAGTGTAAGCTGCCAGGTTGCACATCTATCCCACAACTGAGCAATTGTGGCAAAGGTGGAAATACTGCCCATAAGTGGGATGGTCATGTAGGGAGTGGGCTGACAACCTGCTTTATTTTCTGTCCCCCTACACCTGTGGACATGGTGGCAGGGCGCCATAAAATTCACCCCCAAGTGTTAGATAGAATGGCATTGCTGTCTTTATAAATATGTAATAATCCTTGCAAATATTTAAATCTTACATTTTACATATAAATTTGATTAGTTAAGCAGTCATTTGCTGCTTATCACATGCTGAATGGAGCGGTACCTCCCAAAGTTTTTTTTAAAATAAGTTTGATGGTTCTGGTGTATATTTTCCTCATTGCATCCTAAATTCAAATTATTCTAATTTCAGGTGGACATTGATACAGCATTGAGTGATCTCGAATCAGCAGACTTTGGAGAATTGGTAATAAAATTATAATAATGTATAATATCTGAACATTATATCATTTTATTTCCCCCTTGAGTTAGAACCCTCATTGATTTTTCATTATTTTCATTTTTATTCTTTTAATAAGTTTGAATTATGAGCTGGAAATGACAGGTGGACTTTGGGATAGCTTGTGTTAAAGGAGAAGAGCATACCAAACCGGCTTTGTTTGTTTGTGAGTCCAGGCATGTAGGCTAATTGCAGGCTGAGCCTTAAAAAGGTTCTAACAGACACAGCAAACCTGGGAAGAGCATTGTTTTCAAACACGTACCAGAAGTTGGCTATTAACAAGGTCAGTACCTGGTAGTTCGTTCCAGCAAGTCTGAGGAGACCCTTTGTTCAAGCAGATGGCAGTCGATGAATGATGATTGAGGTCTGGGCAGAATCTATGAGTTTATCAGGGCAGAGCCAGAATTAAAGCTGTTTTTTGAACTATGTTTTCTGAGAGATGGCTTTGGGATGCTGCTTAGACAGAATGAAGATTTGAAAGCTCCCTGCCTAATGTGATACACCATCGTCCGGAAGCCCAAAGAGTATAAAGAGATGTATTACAGCCCTTGCCTGGGTGAACTGAGAGGCGACCCTGATCAGTGTTTCAGAAAAACAGCCAAGGAGCTCACATCTGTGTCTGTGAGAAAATACAACGTGAAAGCCATTTAAGTAATCTGGCCAGCTATGTTATTTTCTTTTATATATCCCTTAACTGCCTGTCTGCCTTTTGTGTGAAAGTGGGCTGGAAACAAATGTTTCAGGTGGAAAGCATCAGACTTTAATCAACTTATTGTGATGTTTAATTTTCTCCACGCTAATGTTATATTTAATAAATTATTATGTCCTTTGTTTAAGATACACAACTGATATTTGTATACTGAAATCAAAAAATGCTGGAAATCGTAGTGGGTCAGGCAGCATCCATGGAGAGAGAGACTGACTCTTCATCAGAGTCGATGTGAAGGAGGGGGCAGCATTTATGCAATAGTTGCGGGGGAGTGCTGGGGGAGAAAGGCTGCTGTTGGTACAGATTATGCGGTATTTGTGTATTAATCATTCGCAAAATCTGGGATTAGTTATTCAAAAGTCTGGCTAGGAATCATTGGAGTACTGTTTGGGGATCTTCAAAATTTTCATGTTACTGTATTACAAATACAGAGGGAGAAAGGCTGATTTGGTTCGGCTGTCTCCATAATATAACACTTGGTTGTGTCTGAAGAACAACTAGCCACTCGAATTTGCATTTGAAAGTTTGCACAAGTGTTTGCCGATCTATTTAGAAACATAACAAAATGGTTGTAAAATATTGTGGTTGGTTGGCTCGCTGAGCTGGTTTGTTGTTCTGCAGACATTTCGTTACCCTGCTGGATAACATCATCAGTGCAGCCTCCGTTGAATCGGAATTAACCTCAAGACTCCTACGACCACTGGGCATCAGAGTAGCACACAAACCCACATCAACCCTACGACAACTGCTCACCTGAACCAAAGACCCACTACCCACTATGGACAGGACCAATGTCATATGCAAGATTCCCTGCAGAGACTGTGACAAACACTACATCGGACAAACAGGAAGGCAGTTAACAACACCCCACACAAACACCAATTGGCTACAAAAAGACATGACCAATACTCACTCATCTCTATCCACATGGATAAGGAGAACCGCCAATTCGATTGGGCCAACAACAAGATCCTGGGACAAGCAAAGCAGAGACAGGCACGGGAGTTCCTAGAAGCCTGGTACTCCACGAAGAAAGCCATCAACAAACACATAGAACTTGACCCCAAATACACTCCATTGCGAAAGAAAACCGGAAGTGAGGTAATCCAGCTCAACGGACTCCAGAGTTCAAAAACCAGGTGGGAAAACACAGCGGCGCTTCATCGGAGGCTGCACTGATGATGTTACCCGGTAGGGTAATGAAACGTCTGCGGAACAACGAACCAGCTCAGTGAGCCAACCAACCATAACATCCACAACCCGAGTTACAAATCTACTCTGAAACCTTAGTGGTTGTAAAATAGCATACAAGCTATACAGAATTAAAGAAACATTTGTATCATAATAACGAAAATATTCGCATTTAATACATGTCTACACAATGTGGAAAACTATTTATGTCACCTCATGTTCAGGACAGTCAGGGCTGAAATAAACAAATTAACCAGGCTATGCATTCAGTTTAGACCAGGAGGAAAAACCTCAATCATAGCCCATCAGCTGACAAAAAAAGCCAATCAAATTCTAATGATCCACAACGCTTCATGACTTGGATTTTAGGGCCCCAAACTGGGTGCCCCCTTATCTCATTCGGTGTGATGACATCAGTTTGACACACATCATCACCACTTTGGTCTCCAAAATTATCGAAGGCAAGTGAGCATGGAAATCAGATGGCCACCACCATCTTGAAATTACTAATTAATGCAACTTTAAGTTTGTTAACTGACAACCCAATTATCTGTAATTTTTCATCACCCGATGGATGTTTAGGCATTAGGCAGAGATTAGGCAAGATAAAGTTTGGCAGTGCTTAGTGGCAGCAATGATGAGTCAACACAGGGTGAAAGAAAAGGCCTCCCACCAGGATTGTGGATGAAAGGAACAATGGATTCTGCTGGTGAGCCTGCCAGCGTCTGTATGTGTTTTGAATTAATTTTATTAACTTTTTGGGGCATACTGTACAAAAGAAGAAAGATTGAAATAAAACATAGAACAGAACAGCACAGTACAGGCCCTTAAGCCCATGAAGTTGTGCCGACCTATTATCCCACTCTAAAATCAAACTAACCTGCATACCCTTCATTATACTGTCATCCCTGTGCCTATCCAAGAGCCGCTTAAATGTCCCTAATATATCTGACTCTACTACCTCCACTGGTAGTGCATTCCGTGCACCCACCACTCTCTGTGTGAAGAACCTACCTCTGACATCTGCCCTATACCTTCCTCCAATCACCTTAAAATTATGTCCCCTCGTGATAGTCGTTTTTGCCCTGGGAAAATATCCCTGGCTACCACTCTATCTCTGCCTCTCATCATCTTGTACACCTCTATCAGAGGAAATAGTGGAGGCTTTTAAATTTGTAGTTGTGACTGACTTCCTGTTGATGTGTAACCTCTCTGTTATATGATAGCATGGTCTAGACATGACACCCTGACCAAGATGCTTGATTGGGCATGAAGCCGCTCCCCCCCCCCGCCTCCATTTGCCTGTTAATTGGCTGCCTTCTTGCCAAGCTGCCACTGATTGGCTACCCAGTGCTTGATTTAATGAGCTGAGATGGAGTAATGTGACAGTACTATGGTTTTAAGAAGTATATTTTGTCCTTTTTTTTTGTGGTGGTTTTGAGCCATACATGCAGAGCTGTCTCTTCCAAACCAATAAAGTAAACAGCTTGTGAGGCCTTTTTTTTTTAAAGTTGGAACAATAGAAGCAGCATGAATGGGTAGATCCAGACTCCCAGGGTTTTAGTTTAGCTTTCAGTAGTTGTTTGGGTTTTGAAGTTGGTTGTGGAAGCTGCTGTACATCTCCCTCGGCTACAGCAAAGGGCTGGAGTTCTCTGTGTCCACTGCCAGATTCGCATGTGAGCCAATCTATTTTACTGAATTTGCCGAACCAATATATTAGAACAGTTGCTGTTTAGTGGTTAAATAATCTGTTATTCTGTTAAGTTTTCCAGTGGAGTTAAAGTTATACAATTCTGCTTTCTTTTGTTTATATTTTAACTGTAAGTTAAGAATAAAGTGTCTTTTGCTTAAAGCCGAGTAAAATAACCAATAGAGTTACATCTGGATCATAGCACCCTACACTTGTCTTTAAATAAGATAAAAGTTAGGGTCCAAGCTACCTCCATGATATATTTGAAGCAAGTTTGGTCTGGTTCACAACAGTAAGAGTGAACGGACCACTCTATTTCCCTTCCACCTCCCTCACACTGCTGAAGAACACAAAATCCAACCCTATAGACAAAAGCAATAATATTTAAGTGGATATACTTTGGCCTGTAAGTTAGTTTTAAAATGCGAAGAGATGAGGGGTGGTCTGCCGAAGGATGAAAGCATTATGACAGCTTCCTGAAAATGTCGTACTCAACTTCCTTTGTAGCAGTTAATGTATAATTTGGCATGGTCTGAGTATTGCCTAAATTGCTGTAAGCATATAGTTGATGATGTCTCTATATTGCTGGGAAGCTAGCTGGAGCTGCAAACTCAAAGACCCACACTTTCTGACTGGTGTAATAGAAAGAATTGACATAATTGCTTTTCCTGGCGAAAAATGTGTCAGTCACCCAAGTTACACATTGTTACCCACTAACTTCAAATGTCTCCAGCAGACTCCCCAAAAGATGCAGAGTAGAAGAAGTAAAGGCATTGATGACTTGTCTACCACTATTAAAATGTAGATAACCAGATCTTATTATTCCAGTGAGCTTAAAATGTCTGTGACTAACTGATGCAAAAACCTGGGCCTCCTGAAATACTGGTGTTGTGGTATGTTGAGAGAGTTTTTTTTCCTCTGCATGTGATCTTCTACTGGCTACATTTTGACAAATAAAAACCTGTCTTGATCTTATGCCCAAATACCCGATTAATGCTGTTGATGGGTGTATTTCACATTTAGAAAATTAAATCATATGTCAGCAGAAGTCAATGATTTCGTGAAAAGGCTAAAAGCTATGTTAGAGTAAGGACAGTCTCAGTAAACATACAGGATTAGATTTAAATTAAAAATGTAATGTACTGGTGAGGTAAGGGCTGAATTACATGACCACTTTATTTTTAGAATTATAGAGTCCCTAAAGTGTGGAATCAGGCCTTTTGGCCCATCGAGTTCACATCAACCCTTTGAAGAGCATCCCATCCAGACCCACCCCCTCTCCCCGTAACCCCTCATTTACCATGGCTAATCCAACCAAACTACACATCACTGGACAGTACGGACAATTTAGCATAGCCAATCCATCTAACCTGCACATCTTTGGACTGTGGGAGGAAACCAATGCAGACACAGGGAGAATATGCAAACTTCACACTGACAGTACAACTTAGATCAAATTATAATGGTATGGTTTTTAAAAATGTCATATGCAATGCTAAAACATCGTGCAAGAGTTTAGTCAGAGTTGTGATCTGAATAATATGTACCAGTGAGCGGTTTGCCAGAATTAAACTTGTTTTCATTTACTTGTCTAAGATAGGTTGTTTGCTTACAGTTGTTTGAAATGTAACTACTAACGATGGTGTGTCGCAAAATAAAGTTTAAATAGAATTAATGCATTCTCCTATATTAGTTTATCTTGTTACAAACTTATTGTTTGATATTTAATTGACTACTAACCAGGAACCTACTTATCTTGTTTCAGTCTGAGGATTATTTTGGCATTCGACGACTCTATGTGATACTGGGTTCTTGTCTGTTCTTCAAGGTAAGTCTGTTGATGATAGGAGATGAGGGTTGAGAGAAGGAGTCGAGATGTAACTCGATAGAATGCTAAGATTGTATTACTGCTTCAAGAAAATGATCATATTCTCAGCGTGTTAAACCATTTGTACACAATAGACCAAGAAGATTTGCTATATAATGAAGTTTCTATGTTTGTAAGAAAATAGTGCCCAACCAGTATGAAAGATTCTGTGTCAAATTTCATGCTGAAATCTCATTAACTATTAAATGTATTGCATGCTGGGATATACAATAAAATTGATGGATGTTGAAAGATGTAAGTAGCTATTTTCAGTTTTTAAGCATACAATGTGTCAAAGTCAGTTGTGAATTCCAAAATATTAAATCATAGCACCCAAAATTGCCACATGTATTTGAGGTTAAACTATATTTGTATTCCAGATCCCTGATATTTTAAAAATTTCTTAAAGTAATGGCAAATTGAATTTTATACTTCCAAGTTTGAATTGCAATATCACTTGTGCCTGGTTGATAAGCAGGCACCAACAGCTTTAAAAATTGTCCAAAGTTATATATACACAATGTAAAATGATTGGATATATACTAATAAATACAAGAGCAAGTTAATTTAAAATTGAATGTAATGTTAGTGCTGTGTGTCATGATACATTGTCAGAAGCCTGAAGTATTGTGGACATTTTTTACTTGTAATTCCAAAGTGTGTTTTTCAAAGGAAGGCTGATGCTGCCAAAAATGGTTGCATTTATAAGTTATGTGGCTGTTTGGAGAGAAAGAGTGAGAGGGAGGAAGAGGCAGAGAGAGAGACTGATGGAATGTAACACCTAGTGTCAAAGAAAGTTTGAAAAGACTGGACTGTGATCTCTTGTGACTAAAGGATAACAAGGGGCTGACAACCCCCTGATCAAGAGCAAGCCAACCCCTTTGAGCTACATCTCAAAAAACTGACACATTTTGTGTTCTTCACTTTGAAGAAATCACAAGGGCAAGGATTTTAAAAAAGTTTCAACTCTACTGGAGTGTACTAGCATGGCTGTGAACTTCTTGTGTATACCAGCCTGGTATTAGTGTACTTCAAGGTTGTTGTTGAAGAATTATCCCGTAGTTACTTCTGTGTTGCAGTTCTTCTGTTTCTCTAATTCTGAGTGGTGCAAACTAGTTAAAAACATGAATCAGAACAATGGGCTTCAAGCAACCTACAAAGCCAAGAATCTCAAAACTTGACTGTTCAACTACCAATATCAGTTGTACAAGCCTCAACATTCAATCATCTGTTCTTTATGAACGTGTGTGTGTGTGTGTGTGTGTGTGAGAGAGAGAGAGAGAGAGAGAGTGAGAAAGACATCTTTTGAATTAAGTTTGTTATAGCTAATCGAGGGGTGAGTGGATGAATAAAGACAAGGAGCCTGTTCATCCATCCTCACCTAGGAGTTTAACAGTTTCAGGTATCCTGTATGGAACTGTAATGAGCTGGGGGACCTTGCCCAAGGTCTCATTGTAACAACAGTTAGGAACACAGGAGCAGGAGTAAGCCTTATGTCCCTCGAGGCTACTACACTCTTATAGGTCATGGCTGATTATCTACCTCAACGACACATTCTTGCATTACAAACATACAGAGCAGAGTAGGCTTTCAGCTATTCAAACCTGTTCTGACATTCTTTAAGATCATGGCTGATCCAATTGTAATCTCATCCACGTTCATGCCTATTCTGGCTAACCTTTTGACACTTTGCTTAATTAGGATATATTAATTTCTACCTCAAAATATTTAAGGATTCTGATGCCACCACTTATCAGAAAGCGAGTTCCAAAGCTCTGAACACAATAAAAAACCTTTTTTGCCTGACCTCCGTTTTAAGTGGATGACCCATTATTTTAATGAGTGGCCTAAGATTTTTAAACAGTGACATCTAGTTCTAGATTCTGCCATAAGTGGAAACATCCTATCCAACACTCCCCTATCAAGACTGCTCAGGATTTTACGTGTTTCAGTCAAGTTGCTCTTACTCTTGGAAACTCCAGCAGATTCAAACCTAGCCAATCAAACCTTTCCTCAGAAGGCAACCCATCCATTCTAGATGTTAGTCCAGTAAACATTCTCTGAATCTTCACCTGTCCATATTTTTTTTTAAACTCTTTGTGTCTGTTTCACAACTCACTTTCATACCTATCTTGGTGTCATCAGCAAAATTTGGAACCTTTATTCCATCCTTTCATCCAAATTATTTATATAAACAGTAAACAGTTGAGTCTTAGCCATGATCCTTGTGGCACAGCACAAATGTTTGCCATTACACCTCTATAAACTCATCCTTTAACCTAAATAGCCAATTCACTTTAGCCAACTCATCTTTCATGTACTCATAATTACCCTTCTTTAAATTTTAAAAAGTAGTCTTGGACCCACTCCACTCTCTCTGAAATTAAATGTAAAATTCAATCATATTATGGTTGCTTGTATCTAGGGGACCCTTAACTATGACATTATTAACTAATCCTATTTCATTGCACAATACCAGCTCTGTATAGTCTGCTGTCTAGTTGGCTCCAGAACATGCTGTTCTAAGAAACTATCCTGAAAACATATAATGAATTCATCATCTAAGCTACCTTTGCCCATTTGACTTCTCCAGTCAATATATAGATTTAGTTTTATCATTCACTGTCTTATCTAGTCTAGTCTTATCTGTTGGTTGACGCTTAGATTCATACTGACTATCCCTTCCTGTCACGGTCTGTATATAATTTCTTGTATTACTTCCTTTCCATTTGGCCTTGACTCTACTCTTTGAATTGCCACTTCTTCCGAACTTTCATCCCTTATAGTTTAAAATCCTCTCGACTTCTCTAGTTATATAGTTGGCAAGAACAGCAGCCCCAGATGGCTCAGGTGGAGACTGTCCCATCAATCCTTTTTCATCAGTACTGGTGCCCTGTAGACCAGAACCCACGTCTCCTACAACGTCTTTGTCTTTGAGCTATGCAGTCATTTCCGTAATCTGATTTGTTTTATGCTAATTTACACATGGCTTATACAGTTATGTAGAGATTATAAAGTTTGAGGCACAGCACAGAAACAGACCCTTCGGTCTATTTGTCTAGGCCAACCAAATTTCCCAAACTAAAGTAATCCCACTTTGTGTGCATTTGGCCCATATCCCTCTAAACCCTTCTTATTCATATACCTGTCCAAATGTATTTTAAATGTTGTAACTGTACCTCCATCTACTACTTCCTGTAGCAGTTCATTCCACGTACACACCATCCTCTGTGTGGAAAAGGTTACCCCTTAGGGCTATTTTAAATTTTTCTCCTCTCACCTTAAAAATATGCCCCCCAGTTTTGAACTCCCCACCCAAGGAAAAGACTTTTGTTACTTACGTTATTCATGTCTGTCATGATTATATGAACTTGTATAAGTTCACCCCTTAACCTACATGCTCCAGTGACAAAAGTCCCAGCCTATTCAGCCTCTCCTTATAACAGTCCCAGCAACAGCCTAGTAAATCTTTTCTGAACCCATTTAAATTTAATAACATCCCTCCTATTAGCAGAGCGACCAGAACTGTACACAGCACTCCAGAAGTGGCCTCATGAACGTTCTTTACGACCTCAATATGACATCCCAATTCCTATACTGAATGGTCTGACAGTGGAGACAAGTGTGCTAAATGCCTTCTTAACCACCCTGTTTACACAACTGTCAAAGAAATGTGTACTTGAGCCCCTAGGTCTCTCTATTTGACAACACTACCCAGAGCTCTACTGTTAACTTTATAAGTTCTGATTGGTGCTTAGCTCCTCATACCTACTATGCAGAGCTTCCTACTTTGGTACTGAAAATATATGGAGGACAATGTGGACCACAAGTGACTGGAATGTCCCTCTGCCATTCCAAATTTCTCCCCAGCCCAAAGCAGATATCCTGAAACCTGAAACTGGGGTCATTAGCAACTAGAAATCCAATTGGAAATATGAACAGAAAGGGCTGGAGAAACTCAGCAATTCTGGCAGCATCTGTGGAGAGTTAACATTTTGAGTCCAATGTAACTCTTCTGCAGAACCCAAACAGTTCTGAAGAAAAGTCATATTGGACTTTGTGTCTCTCCCCAAATGCTGCCAGATCTGCTGAGTTGCTCCAGCACTTTTTTTCTTTCCAATTTCCCCCATTTGAAGTATTTTTTAAATAGAAATCTAACAGTCTCTGTCTTGAACTTAATTAATGAGCTTACACCACCCGCTGGAGTAGAAAATTCCAAAGTTCTTTCTCATCTCATTTTACTCGTTTGCTCTTTATTCTGAGATTCTATCCCCTGGTTCTACACCCCACAGCCAGAGGAAACATCCTTTTTGCATCTTTTTCATACAATACCTACAGTGTGGAAATAGGCCATTCGCCCAACAAGTACATGCTGCCCCTCTGAAAAGCATCCCACCCAAACTCATTCCCCTAATTTTCCCTGTCTAACCCAAACATCCCTGAACACTATGGGCAATTTAGCATGGCCAATCCACCTACCCTGCACATCTTTGGACTGTGGGAGGAAACCGGAGCAAACCTATGCAGAATGTGCAGGGAGAATGTGCAAACTCCACACAGACAGTCACCCAAGGCTGGAATCGAACCTGGGTCCCTGGCGCTGTGAGGCAGCAGTGCTAGCTACTGTGCCACCCAGCTATCTTGTCTCATCCTTTCAACACTTTCTACAAGATTACCACCCATTCCTCTAAACTCCAGAGAATACAGATATGGTCCCCACAGTATCTTCCCATAGGGCATTTCCACTCTCCCAGGAATCAGTCTGGAGAATCTTCACTATGCTCCCTCTGTATCAAGTGTATCTTTACTTCAGCAAGAGGACCACAACACACACAATACTGGGAGGGACATGAATGAGTGTTGGGGAGGCTAGATGGAAGAGCAGGAAGTATTTGTATGTAGTTATAATTTGCATACAATTGGTTGTGATATTTAATGTTGGTGTACAACCTGTACTAATTTTAAAAAATGAAAATGTTTGTTGCGTCATAGCAAATAGCTAGAATTGCTTCTCAGTGAAGCTGTATTTTTACAGGTTATTTTTCTTTACTTTTGAACTCTATAACAATACTTTGCTCATCTTACTCTGGATTTGTATTATTTTTAAGGGTTACTTGATTGGCAGTCATTTGCCCAAAGATGACCTCCTTGACATTGCACTTTACTGCCAGCATTATTGCTTACTACCCCTAGCAGCAGAGCAAAGGATTGGTCAGCTGATCATTTGGCGTGAGACATTCCCGTATAGATACTTTCCGTCACGTCACAAACTGATCATTGAGGACTATCAAGAACCAAAAGGAAGACACTTTTTGCTAATTGTTGGTTTGGTATGCATAACTTATTACTTCATATATGCTTTCTTCTGATATGTAATATAGTGCAGTTCCAAAATAAGCAAGATAAGAAAAATTATTGTTCATATATTGTTGAGCTGTAGTCCTTCATGTGGTGATTCTGTTACTGACATCATTTCCATTGTTATACAAGTATTCAGATCTTAATGTGTAACTTCCTTGTTAATTAAAATATGTTCCTTCTATTTAGTCACTAGTTGACTTCATAAGTAGGAAACACTTATAACTGAAAAGGATTAATGCACGAGTATAAGTTTTAACAGCACAAATGTTGAGTGAAAGCCACTTGTCTCATCAAGTATCATGGGCTGACCTAACTTGCATAATAAGACATAAGAAGTGAATTACAAATAAAATTGTCAAGAAAATAGGATTGTGCACTTTGGCAGAAAAGCTGAAGGCATTTAGAACATCTGTCCAATCCCAAAACACCTGCCACTGAACTCTGGCTGGTTATATTTAAATCTGTATGTGGCAATGGCTCATAATCATTTGCTGTTGAAAATATAGAAATTTTCTTTATAGCTACATTAATCAAAATTGAATTAAAATCTTAGTTTGCACAGTCAAAAGGAGCAGAGAGACCCCAGAAGCAGATAGACTGACAGCAGACCTCTGTGAGACTCAGGAGTGGCACTACAAGGTTAAAAGGAGCATTGAGAGTAGAATGGTTCCAGAGCAGACAGACAGGCGGCAGAGATCCTTCAACAAATTCAAAGTGTGACATCACAGGACAGCAAGTAGGTAACTGGTGGGTTTTCTTTTTACTCTCATGACTGGATATTGATTTAAGGCCATAAGTGCAACTGAAAGTGTGAAGTGATTCATTTTGGAAGGTCAAATTTGAATGCAGAATACAGGGTTAATGGCAGGATTCTTGGCAGTGTAGAGAAACAGAAGGATCTTGGGGTCCACGTCCATAGATCCCTCAAACTTGCTACCCACGTTGATAGGGTTGTAAAGAAGGTGTGTGGTGTGTTGGCTTTCATTGGCAGGAGAATTGAGTTTAAGAGCTGCGAGGCTATGCTGCAGCTCTATAAAACTGTGGAATATTGTGTTCAGTTCTGGTCACCTCATTACAGGAAAGATGTGGAAGCTTTAGAGAGGGTACAGAGGAGATTTACCAGGATGCTGCCTGGACTGGAGGGCAGACCTTATGAGGAAAGGTTGAAGGAAGAAGGATGAGAGATGACTTGATAGAGGTGTACAAAATGATGAGAGGCATAGATTGAGTGGATAGTCAGAGACTTTTTCCCAGGGCAGAAATGACAGTTACAAGGGGGCATAATTTTAAGGTGAATGGAGGAAGGTATAGGGGAGATGTCAGACGTAGGTTCTTTACACAGAGAGTGGTGGGCGTGTGGAATGCACTGCCAGCAGTGATAGTGGAGTCAGATACTTTAGAGACTTTTAAGTGACTCTTGGATAGGCACATGGAGGATAGTAAAATGTAGGGTATGCAGGGTAGTTTGATCTTAATAGGATAATAGGTTGGCACAACATCGTGGGCCGAAGGGCCTGTACTGTGCTGTACTGTTCTATGTTCTTTGTTCTATGAAAAAGTTTTACATAGATAATTAATCTTCACTTGATTGAGTTAGTGGTTCTGATTGCTGATCTGATATAAACAAGAAAAAGATTTTTCTAGTCTATTCTTAAGTCAGAGCAAGAGCCCTTATTATTTATTTAAGGTATGCCCGAGGATGGAAAATCCGAGACGCTCCTGCTGGTCTGAGATATCTCTAACTGGAGCAACTCAAGCTCCAGGTTTTGGATCTTGAGCAACATCTGGGGACACTGTTGTATTCACAAGGAAGAGGTTCATTGATAGCTTGTTTCAGGACATGGTCACCTTGCAGCTCAAGGTAGTACAGGTGGGGAGGGAATAGTGACCGCGAGAGCAAAAGAGATTGATCAGTTAGCAAGAGAATCATCAGAATGAATCTTGCTTGCAAACCGTTGTTCAGCCTTGGATTAACAGCGAATGTGATGGTTCATCTGTGGAGGCCCGTCAGAGCTGAGGTCAAGGCAGAGACAATGTTGGTGGTCCAACCGCTCAGTGGGGGAGAGAATAGTAGTCGGGGATTCATTAGTGAAGGGAATGGACAGATGTTTGAGACCATAGACATAACTGCAGGATTGTATGTTGCCTCTCAGGTACTAGGGTAAAAGATGTCACGGAATGGCCCCAGGACATTCTGAAGTGAAAGAGTAAACGCTTTGAGGTCATGGTCCATGTTGGGACTAATGACATTGGAAGGAAGAGAAATGAGGTCCGGCAAGTTGACTTGAGAGTTAGATAGAAAAGTGTAAAGATGGACTTCAAAGATAGTAATCTTTAGATTACTTTTGATGCCATGCAGTAGTGAGTGTTGGAATAGGAAGACAGAGCAGATGAGTGCATGGCTGAAGAGGTGGTGCAGGAGGGATGGCTTTAGATTACTGAGGCATTGGCACTATTTTTGGGGAAGGTGGTCCTGTACATGTCGGACAGGTTACACTGGAACAGGAATGGGACCAACATCATCATGGGGAGGATTGATAACACTCTTTGGACATTTTTAAATTTGAAAGGAAGTGGGACATAGACAAGTAGATCAGAGGGAAGAGTAGCTGGATGACCTCCTTGACATTGCACTTTACTGCCAGCATTATTGCTTACTACCCCTAGCAGCAGAGCAAAGCATGATTGGGCTAAATAAGAAAGAAGTGAATTTGGCAAGGCTATATGAAATATATTTTATTGCAAGGAGCCTGAGGAATAAGACAGATGAGTTGAGATCACAGAAAGGTACATACGATATCATAGCTATGACTGAGATTTGGCTTAAAGATAGGCAGGATTGGTAGCTCAGTATTTCTGGTTGTAGGGTGCTCAGAAAATGGGGATGGAAGAGATGGAGTTCTCAGTATTGTTCAACAAATCAGTTATAGGAGTGAGAGGGATGATAATTTGAAGGAATCATCACCTGAGGCCACGTGGATAGAAATAAGGATACACAAGAGGATCAAACACACTTTTGGATGTGTACTATAAGCCTGCAAACAGTCAGAGAGAGAGAGAGAGGATTAAATATGTAATGAATTTCCAGAGAAATATTAGAATAATAAAGCAATAAAAGAGGATTTTAACTGTCCAAATATTAACTGGAATAGGGTCTTGGTTCAACAGTAGCTTCAAAGCTGCAGTGCTCCCTCAGTACTACACTGAGTGACAACCTAGGATTTCAGATTTCTGGAATGGAACTTGAATCCGCAATCCAATGACAGAAACAAGAGTGCCAGCACTGAGCTACAACTGACTGAAAACTGTAACCACTGTGGGAGGATTTTGTAATTTTAAAATGGAGTTCTATGTATAATGCAGAATGTTGTATTTAAAGTTACCAAAATTTCTCAGTATTGAATGATACTGAACTTATTATTGATTTTTCTAAGGAATGATCAAACTGCAGAAGTAGGAAAAATCGTACAAATATTCATTGGAATAATTTATTACAGTCGTATCTAGAAGTGATTTCTTACTAACCAAAATACCACAATCGTTGATTCTTCTTTACCACTACTGTATGTATCTATCAACTGTAGGTAGTTTAAGACATTTTGTAAAAAGGCAAAATAACTTCAAGAAATATAGAATCATAAAACGTGGAATTGGGTCAAAAAGCCTACTATATCTGTAATAGTCTTTTGAAAGATATCTAATTAGTGTCGCTTCTGTACTGTTTATCTGTAGCCCCTGAAATTCCCTTTAATTGATAGTACTTTTTATTATTAAAAAGATTAATTAACAATTCCCTCTCTTCAGAGACACTTGATGTTGTGTGTGTTGCTGGAAGCAGGAGGATGTGCATCCAAAGTAAATGGAAATCCAGGACCCGACAGTGTTTATGTTGATCAAGTTAAAACAACTTTACTTCAGCTTGAAGGACTAGAAGCCAGAATACAAGAAAGGCTGGATTGTCCCTCCATTGCATGTTTGTCATGTGCTGATTGGTTCCTTCCTTCTTCTCGTGACAAGTTTGAAAGTATCAGCATTTCTCCTATCATTAGCAAGTTTCAAGGTGCAACTAAATCAATTCAATCACCAACAAATCGAAGGGCACTGTTTGGAGACTCCAGCCAAAGGATGCAGAAATCCAGTCCTCCACGGAACAATGGTGTCTCTGATATTGCTAGTGAAAGGCATGGAGATGGTGGTTCCTTCATTATGAACTTTAGTCCATATTCTATATCTGACACAGTCAAGAGGCTTCCTCGAAGAGAATCCCAAGGTTCTGGTGGATCTGATGGTAGTGGAAGTATATTTAAGGTGAGGAGAGAAATCTGAAGATGTACATAACATGTCCATGTTTTTGTTCCCCAGTTCTTTAATGATCATATTCAAAGCATTAAACTAGAAATCCATGGCTTTTGACAAACGAAAGCCACTGTTATCAGAACAAGTGGAGAAGAATTCAGGTTAAAACCCAATTCTGAAGAATAGTCACGTCACACTCAAAACATTAACTCTATGTGTCTCTCCACAGATGTTGCCAGACATGCTATGTTTCTCCAGCATTTTCTGGTTTTATCTTAGAATTCCAAGTATTTTGCTTTTATTTGAACCTGGTTCCAGTCAGTTTCCACTACTTTTCCTGCCAAAATGTGAGATTCTGCTGGGGTGGGATAAGGAGGGAGTGAAATGTCATAAGCAAAAATTTCTATCAATTCCACTACCGTTAGGAGGAAAGCTGATGAGTTCTTCCACTCCATGCCTAATCTAGAGCAATAAATTGCTACTGGAAAATGAGCTACACTATACAAATCCTTAACTCAGCATTTATGAATTTCAGTGCCAGTGATGCCAGATATGTAGGCCTTACATCCCAAAGAATGAAGAATCATATCAGACAGCATGTCCCTTGAGCTGTTATGAAGACCTATCGAGACTCAAAATGTTAACTTGATTTTTCTTCATGGATGCTGCCTGACCCACTGTGATCTCCAGCATTTTCTTATTTTCATGTCTCTTCAGCTGTTTGCAGCAAGCAAGGTATTAACCTCTACCCAACTAGCCTGTACCAGCAAACCTCGCAACACATTGTCTAAACGTTGAATCCATTTGGGTGGAAATTAGGAATAGCAGGGAGAAGAAGTCACTGATAGGTGTGGTCTATAGGCCACCAAATAATGACATCATGGTGGGGCGGGCAATAAACATAGAAATAGCTAATGCATGTAAAAATGGTACAGCAATTATCATGGGGGATTTTAATCTACATATCGATTGGTCAAACCAGGTCGGTCCTGGCAGCCTTGAGGAGGGGTTCATAGAATGCATCCGCGATAATTGAACAATATGTAATGGAACCTACGAGGGAGCAAGCTATCCTAGATCTAGTCCTGTGTAATGAGACAGGAATAATTAATGATTTCACAGTTAGGGATCCTCTTGGAAGGAGCGATCACAGTATGGTCAAATTTAAAATACAGATGGAGCGTGAGAAGGTTAAATCCAGTACCTATCTCCTGTGCTTAAACAAAGGAGACTATGAAGAAATGAGGGAGGAGTTAGCTAAGGTAGACTGGGAGCAAAAATTTTATGGTGGGTCAATTGAGGAACAGTGGAGGACTTTCAAAACGATTTTTCACAGTGCTCAGCAGAAGTATATTCCAGTGATAAGGAAGAACTATAGGAAAAGAGAGAGCCAGCCATGGATGTCTAAGGAAATAAAGGAAAGTATCAGATTGAAAAAAAACACATACAAAAAAGCAAAGAGTAGTGGGAAACTAGTAGACTGGGAAATCTTTAAAGGCCAACAGAAAGCCACAAAAAACGTTATAAAGAAAAGTAAGATAGATTATGAGAGTAAACTAGCTCAGAATATAAAAACAGTTAGCAAAAGTTTCTATAAATATGTAAATCGTAAAAGAGTGGCGAAGGTAAACATTGGTCCTTTAGAGGATGAGAAGGCCAATTTAATAACTGGGAATGAGGAAATAGCCGAGACATTAAACAGTTATTTCGTGTCGGTCTTCACAGTGGAAGACACAAATAACATGCCGAAAACTAATGGCAAGAAGGTGATAGCAGGCGAGGACCTAGAAACTATCATTATCACTAAGGAGGCAGTGCTGGGCAAGCTAATGGGGCTAAAGGTAGACAAGTCTCCTGGCCCTGATGAAATGCATCCCAGGGTATTAAAAGAGGTGATGGGGGAAATAGCAAATGCACTAGTAATTATTTACTAAAATTCACTGGACTCTGGGGTGGTTCCCGCAGATTGGAAAACAGCCAATGTGACACCACTGTTTAAAAAAGGAAGTAGACAAAAAGCAGGTAACTATAGGCCAGTTAGCTTAACTTCGGTAGTGGGGAAAATGCTTGAATCTATCATTAAGAAGAAATAGCAAGACATCTGGATATAAATTGTCCCATTGGAAACACCCAGCATGGGTTCATGAAGGGTAGGTCATGTTTAACTGATTTGGTGGAATTCTTTGAGGACATTACTTGCATGGTGGACAATGCGGAACCTGTGGATGTGGTGTATCTGGATTTCCAGAAGGCATTTGACAAGGTGCCACACCAAAGGCTGCTACATAAGATAAAGTTCCACAGTATTACAGGTAATGTATTGGCATGGATAGAGGATTGGTTGACCAGTAGAAAGCAAAGAGTAGGGGTAAATGGGTGTTTTTCTGGTTGGCGGTCAGTGGCTAGTGATGTGCCTCAGGGATCAGTGTTGGGACCGCAATATTTTACAATTTACATAGATGATTTGGAGTTGGGGACTAAGTGTGATGTGTCAAAATTTGCAGATGACACTAAGGTGAGTGGTAGAGCAAAGTGTGCAGAAGACACTGAAAGTCTGCAGAGGGATATAGATAGTCTAAGTGAGTGGGCAAAGGTCTGGCAGGTGGAGTACAATGTTGATGAGTGTGAGATCATCCATTTTGGTAGGAATAACAGGAAAATGGACTATGTTTTAAATGGTTAAAAAATTGCAGCACGCTGCTGTGCAGAGGGACTTGGGTGTCCTTGTGCATGAATCACTAAAAGTAGGATTGCAGGTGCAGCAGGTAATTAAAAAGGCAAATGGAATTTTGTCTGCCATTGCTAGAGGGATGGAGTTTAAAAACAGGGAGGCTATGCTGCAGCTGTATAGAGTCCTGGTGAGGCCACACCTGCAGTAGTGTGTGCAGTTTTGGTCTCCTTACTTGAGAAGAGACATACTAGCACTGGAGGGGGTGCAGAGGAGATTCACTGTTGATTCCAGAGTTGAGAGGGTTGGATTATGAGGAGAGACTGAGTAGACTGGGATTATATTCATTGGAATTCAGAAGAATGAGGGGAGATCTGATAGAAACATATAAGATTATGAAGGGAATAGATAAGGTGGAGGCAGGGAGGTTGTTTCCGCTAGCAGGTGAAACTAGGACGAGAGGGCATCGCCTCAAAATAAAGGGAAGCAGATGTAGGACTGAGGTCAGGAGGAACTTCTTTACCCAAAGGGTTGTGAATCTATGGAATTCCCTGCCCAGTAAAGCAGTTGAAGCTACCTCGCTGAATGTTTTTAAGGCAAGGCTGGATAAATTTTTGAACAGTAAAGGAATTAAGGGTTATGGTGAGTTGGTGGGTAAGTGGAGCTGAGTCTCTAAAAGATCAGCCATGATCTTATTAAATTACGAGGCAGGCTCGAGGGGCCAGATGGCCTACTCCTGCTCCTAGTTCTTATGTTCTTATGTTCTAACAGCAGATGTGATTCTAAAATTGGACAACATTTGCTGGATAATCCTGAATGTGTGATGAATTATGCTGACAAACAATGTAAAATTATCGGTCAAGCTCACAGTTTTGGTACTTGTGTGTATTCGAAGCTGCATATATTAATACACAGGGCACTGTTGTTTGCAGACATAATGAGCATATACACATAATGTGCCTGTTTCAACTTAACAAAATAGGTGACATTCATTTGCTGGTTCATTTCTCAGGACAATGCTCAAACCAATCAGATTCAACCTACCTGGTTTGAAATTTAACAGCTTGGCTATTGACCACCAATTAGCATTAATAAGTGCATTCCCATGACAACATCTGTACCAATCAGAGTTCACTTGCTAACCAATCAGCACTCTCCTCTCATTCACCATAAATATTGATTTTTTTTTCCTCTTGAATCCCCTTGTCATCTTGCAAAATGCCTTGATAAGTGCAAAGTGAAAGGCTTTGGCAAAATGCATTTAAATCCTTACAAATTCTAGATCAGGTGTCTGGTAGTATCAATCCAATTAACAGGCCTTCGGTTTTATTTTTGCCATACAAGGTGTCATTCTGCATTTTGATTAGAGGATGTTGGCATTTAGTTTTAGAGTACCCTTTTTAAAAATGAATATTAATTAAAAATTTTAAACTGGTAGTTTAGTTTCCTGATATCATCATTTTTTCTTGTTCAGTGCCAAGCATCGTTTAAGTTTTAAGTCTGAAACAATATTTTAGTAACCCAATTTAGGTGCCAATAGTTGCTGATGAAAATCAAAAATCATGGGCCTGTCCCACAGTACTGCCCATTTGGGAGTCCTGCTGCTGCTGGAAAACCAGCTGATGTGAGCAGACAAGAGTTCTTGTGAGCACAGGAGTCCCATCTGCTGTATTCAGCAAGTTGAAATCAATTCCATTTTGTCAAGTCATAGCTGACCTGTGTCATAATTCCAAATAGCCTCAAACCACATCCTTTGCCATATAAAAGTCCTCTGATCCATGTCTTGAAAATTTCAACTGTTTCAACAACAGGGTTTTGACTACGACAGTTCCAGATTTCCACCGTCCTTTGAAAAAATCGCTTCCTGATTTCACTGTTAAATGCCTCTCTCAAATTTTATGCTCTCTTGTTCTGGCTTCTTCCATTGAAGGTAATAGATTTTCTGAATCTACTGTATTGAACCTTTTAATCATTTAAAACACCTATATTTAGATTACACCCCATCTTTCTAAACGCTAGGAAGGACGGCTAAACTTAGGCAGCCTTTCTTTATCACAAACATTTATCTTGATATCAATGAAGAAAGAAGTACAAGCAGCAAATGCAAGGCTTTGAAAGGGAGAGCTAAGTAACAATAAAGGCGATTGCAAAAGCAGAAATTATACCATACCTATCCTTATCTAACCGTAAGTTGACAAAACCGAGGGAAATTACTGACGCAATCTATGTTTCATGGAATCAGAAATGATACAGTCTTCTAACTGACCAGACACCAGGAACACTCTGCTTGCACTAACATATGCCTGGTTAGATTAAATCATTTTTAAGTTTAACAAACTGGCTCGATCTACAAATGTTTTGCAGGTACTAATTTTCTAGGACCTGTTGTAAAGTAATGACTATATTAATCCAGTAATTGAAGTGTTAAATTTTAAGCACAACCTAAGTAGTATCAGAGTTTGAAATTTTGTCACGAACAAGCTCTCAGAGTTGCAAACAAGGGGGGGTGAAACATCCTTGCACCTTTTGGTTTATTTACGACAGAACAGACTTTCTGAAAAAGGAGTCATATAATCAATCAAGAATTCTGTCTTTCATAAGATTTAGTAGTAAACAATAGGCTGTTTTATTAAAATCCTGAGGTACAGACAAATTTCCTAGGACCTAGCAATAAATCAACAAACAAGACAAGATATTAGAAAGATAAGGAAAAGATAAAACAAAAGATTCGGTGTCTGAATGCACATTAATAACAAAATAAATGAATTAATAGCATACATTGAAGTAAACAAATACGATCTGATAGCCATTGAAACATGGTTTCAGGATGACATGGATTGGGTCCTGAATGTTGAAGGGTATATTGCTTCAAGAAAAGTAGGAACCTAGGTAATGATGGAGGGATAGCACTGTTATTGAAGGATAGCATTTGTTCAATAGTTAGAGATGACCTTAGTTCAGGAGATTACCATGTAGAATCAGATTGGGTAGAGATGAGAAATATCAGGGGAAAGAAGTTACTAGTGGGAGTGATCTACAGGCCATATAACACTAACCACAAAAAGTATACAAGAAATATTGAGTGCTTGTAGCAAAGGGACAACAGTAATCCTGGATGACTTTAATAAACTAGAAAAATTAGGTTGGTAGTAGCCTGAACGAGGAGTACGTAGAATGCTTTCCAGATAATTTCTTAGAGCAGTTCATCTTGGAACTGACAAACAATTTATGGAATTTCAGTTAGAAACTTCATTTACTTTTGGGTTGTAATTAAACTCTTAGACAGCCTGGGAAGTAGTAGGCTTTTTTTTAAAACATTAATGTCAATGATAACTACAATTCCTTTAGCACTTAGGATCCAAGAAATTATTGAGTATTTCACACAAAGAATTTGCTTGAATGTAAAATGCCCCCTCCATTTGTGGTTGTTGGTGGTGAGATTACTTCCCAGAAAAATGAACATTGGCTAGAAATTAGAATCTTCAGAAGGCAAGATAAGCTTGTTTGCTGCATGCTTTCAGCCCTCAAGCTCTTAACCTGGAGAGCAAGTAGTCGCTGCACTGCCTAATTGCCCAATAATGAAATAACCAAACAGGTTTTTGACAAAGCATTTGGTGCCTCCAGTGAATCGTGGAATGATAATGTGACAAGTCCTAGAACTGTTATCATCATTTGGTCATTAAATTGTGCCTCCTTTGACACGCCATTAAGAGTGCCTATGCTCTATTTGAGTATCAGATGAATTTTATCTAAACAGTGAAATGAAAATTCTCTTCATAAACTTGGAAGACTTTAGTGATAGTAAAATTTATAATTATTCCAATAAGGTGCCTGTTTGATAGGATTTTTTTTGTAACAGCAACAATAATTTTGATCCTGCTTGTCATCACCATGCTTAATAGCAGGAATGTGTCGGTTTGCCTATTGAGTACTCAGATATAGATATATATATATAGAATATACACACACATATATGTGTTAAGAAAGTAGAACAATGCTAACCAGAAGTAGTCTATTTATATTATCTAATTACACTTTACATACGAAAGTAGCTGTTTAATTAAAATTGTTTAATGTTGATCTTTTAATATGTTTACTTTGAATTAATTTGTTTAAAAACTGATTAAACTATTCCAGAGCAAGAAGAAACAAAACTTTCCCAATCCATTTTATCTGGGAAGCATGAAAAAAAGCCTTTCTGAGTCAGAGACCGAGGAAACATACAGCATAACAAAGTAAGTTTAAAGCTTCTAATTTAAGATTTTTAAACACTTATTTATGCTATTGTAAGTAAAAACGATCATGGCTTTTCCCTTTAGTTTCTGACCTTGGTTTCAGTTTCTCTTTTTGTTGTCCCTTGTTTTCTTTACTATCCTGAGTAAGGATCTGTTATGAGCACCCTCTATAATATAAGATGTACCAATGAAGTTCCTAATGAATTGCACTTATTGTAGTAGATATTACTCCTGTACATTTAAAAGAATGTACGCAAAGTACAAGCATTGAAGGTGCTGACTATCAGGTTTTAAATATAATGGAGGTCTTTGCATTTCTTTAAAAAAAAATACATTTAACATTAAAGTACAGAATATTATATGACTCTTTGAAGGAGAGAATGGATATCAAAGACCAAGGAGAGATGATCAAAAATGTGACCAAAAGGAAAAATTTTATAACTGTTAAATGTGGAAAGAGAAGCAGTAAAGGGGTACGTTTAGAAATAAACTCTCGAAGAGTACAACCAAGATGACTGAAAACTTAGTCCCTAAGGAGAAAAAGTCATTTACATAATATTAGGATCGTAGAATCAATAAGTTTGGACTGGGGTGGAGAGCTAGAGATAGTAATAGAGGTAAAATAATTGAGGTCATAAAATAACCAGTAAATTAGATTGAGGATTTTTGAATTTAGTACATTGAGAGTCAACAGAAATTCTGAGTTACAGCAAGTAGAACTTTGTGTGTTAGAGTGTGCAGGCTGGCTGTTTTGTTTAGATTGCTGTTATCAGTGGAGCTGTACGTACGCAGGCTAGTAAAGAGAACATAGGAAATGTTAACAAGTAGTTAAAATGTAGCCAGAGATTCAGCAATAAAAACTTGTATTCATATAATCCCCTTAACATAGAGAAAGCAAAAGACAAAAATTGAAGATTGATACATGAAGATGGGTGACTAAAAACTTGTCAATAAGGTTGTTTTTAAGAAATGTTATAAACAGGGGAAGAGGCTTAGTGAGGTTGTGCCAAAATTTATGATCTAGAAGATTGAAGGCAAGGCTGTAACCATTTGGGTAAAGGAAGTCTTGATGCACCAGAGTTCGGAAGAAGTGCAGAGTTCTTGGAGAGAGATGATGCAAAGAAATTGGAACATGACGCTGGAAATTTTACACGCAAGATGTTGGGGTGCTGGGAATCTAAGTAATTCAGTGACAATAGAGTGAGGGAAACCTATGATGGAATAGAACACAGGCAACAAATATTTTTGATGAGCTGAAGTTTGCGCACTAGTTGCTAGGTGGTAAAACCAACTCGGAGGTTATTCAAACATTGAACTTTCGAAGTGACAGAAGAAGCAATATTTTCCAGCAAGGGTGGAGACAACATCGAAATAGTGGTTAGGAAATATCCAGCTGATCCACCTAGCCACTCGGACATTTGTGCATCAGGTCAAGCGAGACACCTTGCATGTTAGGTGCCACGGAGAAGGGCAATATTGAAAGGTGGAAGTAGGCAACCTTTTCAGTAGAGAGGAAATGAGAAAAATCGGCTTGTGCTCAAAGAGAACACTAAGGTTGCAAACAAGCTGAGACAGTGACCAATGAAGGGGATGGACATTTTGGCAAGAGTAGGTAGATGGTGGCAGAGTCCAAAGACAGGCAATTCATGAATAGTTTTTGGGTAAAGGAAACAATGCCCTCTAGCAATTGATTTTTTGCTGCCAGATCTGATGGTGGATGGCTCAACTGATATGCAAGTTGTCATGATTCCAGTTATGAGAAGACTGGGCAAGTCAGATAATGCGTTGAATCAAATTCAGACTCCAGATCTGTCAAAGATATCGGCCATTCTCACCCACAGAATAGCAACTCCAACAGCATGATGTCCATAAGCTGAAGACCAGTAACTCCAGACTAGCCACTTTGTCAGATGACAATGCCAAATAATCAGAATAGAGGTAGGCCATGCTAAAGCACAAAATCAGAGAGCCCTGGGCAAGCTATCATTTGATATTAAGATCTACTTGTGGAAGGACATTGAAAACTAAAATATGACTAAACTTGTGAGAAAGTTGGAAGTGTTGGCAGAGAGAAGGTGAAGTTGATATATTGCAAGTGGAAAATCGTGGCATGAAGTGAAAAACAGATGACAACTATGTGGGATGCTGAGAATGAGGAGGACAAGAGTATGACCAAGGGTCTAGACCCGAAACGTCAGCTTTCCTGCTCCTCTGATGCTGCTTGGCCTGCTGTGTTCATCCAGCTGTACACCTTGTTATCTCATCTGATACAAGACCCATTTTGCTCAGCTGTGAGAGACCAACATGGAAATTCCGACAACTATGGAAACTTAACCAAAATGTCTAACGCCATAAGCTGCACAATAGAACTGATAGATGAGGCATATGTAGATGAAGTACATTCTTCAAGTAAGGAACTCAAAAAAGACCAATGGGCCTAAGAGTCCATTGAATGCTCAGATGCCTGTTTCCCTGGCTGAAATTGCAGTGGCCAAAGAAATGCTCCTGGATTTCACGCTGCAGCACATAAACTTAGAATGCGTTTGACTGCATTGATGACATGCCAGACTATACAATACCTGTCTGAATATGACATGCTAAGCCAGAACAGATTATTGAGTTTTTCTAGACCTACCTCACAGCAGTGCTCAGTGCTTTTCACTGTACAAAGTCGGCATTGTGAGGTGTGCACAAATTGAAAATAAAAAATATTTTTCACATTATTATTACTTTACTGTGTTTTCATTTGGGATTTTGTTTTTGACAAAGAGTACACTTATTTACAAATCAGGTTACAGAAGAGCCTTTTTGTCTACTTTGAAGTGCGGCTTAACATGAATTTGTTGCATGTCCTCTGTAAATTAATTTGCAATGTGATTTCAAGTTTTTTTTAAATTCATTCATGGGATGTAGTGTTGATGAGTGGGCCAGTATTTATTGTCCTTCTCTAGATTGCCTTTGAGAAGCTGGTGGTGAGATCCTTCTTGAACTGCTGCAATTTGGTGTAGGTAGATCCACAGTACTCTGTAATGCATTTTCTTTTTATTCTGGGTCTGGCTGTACAGGTGGCAATTCAGATTTATGGTATAGCACCAATCAATATGACCTCCTGGCATCACTTACAATGAGATTTTCCATTATCTAGTACTTGGGGTTGGGGCTAAAATTGGAAATGATTGCAGATGTAGATAGAGGAAATGACAGCTGTGCAAACAGTTGCACTTTTAGAAATTAAAAATACCTTGGGTCTTCATACTTTATGGTAAGGAAGGAGGAGAAGATGTGGTTCCTTTGTTGAAGAGATTTGCCTGGATTTGGCTTGCCCTGCAATATGATCCAGAAGTAGTTAAAGGATTTGCTGAAAAGCGGGAAGTACGGTGATTCATTAGACAAAGTCAGCGATGTAACAACTAACAGATCTGTTGTCCATCTGGTGCAATCAAGTACTTTAAACATAAAGAAATTGATGAAAGCAATTATTCCAGGTAGTAAAGATCGGAGAGCATTGGTGACTTGATGGAGATCAACGAATCAATAGGAAAGCTAAGAAAACTGCTAACGGAGTCAACATTGATATAGGTGTTTTGTTAAGTAGAGAGCCAGAAGACACGGAATTAGAAATTAGCATGAAGAGAATGTTGGAGGCATTGTTGTATGTATTATAAGTATGTAAGGAGATGTAGGCAGTAAAGGAGATTTCCTAAAAATTTGGCTATGCTGACTGAAAAGATCGTATGGGTATTATGTAAAAGGAAGACTGTATGGGAACTTAAAGCAGAAAAGTGTGAATATAAATAGAATGTAAAAAATTAAAATTGTGTGGCACAGAAACTAAGTGCAGAGGATGGTAACAATCACTGCAAGACTTGAGAGGACAGTGAAAAATTCTTTTAATGGCCATGTGGAGCTGATCCACATGAAATGTTTCTCCTTGTAAAATTGCAATGCTTGTTTTGAGTCTGAGTTGACAGTGAAGGGCCACCAGTAACACACATTGAAAATTTAATAGCATAAGTGGTTCACTATTTTCGAACTGTTCGGTCAAAAATTTGTGAGAAAAAAATGGCCAAGTTTACAGTGAGATTTGCAACCATGCAGAAGTTTTTCCTTCAATTACATGATGCAATTCTAAAGAACCTGAGCAATGAAGAACGTTTGGGCACAGAGAATGGCAATTTGTGAATTACTTGTACATTACGTATTTTCATAAATTAAAATTTAATATTTCTTATTTGGTAAATAAATATCTAAGGAAATTTGTATTAAGTCTTGTTAAAGATCTGTTATTTCATGTTTTACAGATTGACATCAGGCACAGAAAACACTCTATTTTATTATATTTCAATAGAAACAACACAAGGGATATTCATAGCACCAACACATACAGAAGTTTCACAGCTCAATGGTTCCGTTCACTCACAACTAATCAAAAACTTCCATCGTTGTTGCTTATCGATACGGTCAGTCTTCCAACAAACCTTGGACAAATGGGTGAGATTGTTTAAAATTTATAGTAACTGGGTTTGTACTGCTATTTGTAGCATATGTATTGTATAGACATGTGTAAATGCACTAAATATTCAGTCAACTGAGTTATGCAATAGCGTGGGCAAGCACACAGTCCTTTCCTCTGTCGGAACTGAGTTTGAATCCAGCCAAAATAGATATGGTGCATACTGTAATTTTATTGGCTTTGAATTTCCAAATTAACTCAATTCAGTTCTAATGAATGTTGGTCCAGGGTACAACTTTACTCATATTTCAACACCAGTTGTCAGTCTTACAATTTGTTCATTAAATCTCAACAATTGTTACCAACTTTAATCTGGTAATGTAGTGATTGTAATGAGGACAGCCAGGTGGACCTCATAGAATATGAGTTCCCTGATTTGGGCTGTTAATCTGGTCCAATCAGGGAGCCCTGGCTGACAGATAAGAACAGGACTGTCAGATATCCTGTTCACTCTGAGAGCTGGCTCTGCGGGAGCTGGATCACTGTCAAGGACTCTTCATGTGTACATAAAGAGTGACTTGGTGATGGGATTCCGGCCTCTCTGGAGTTATGTTACATAGATTTTTGTTACTGCTTCTTGGATGAGGTTTACTTGGATTTTCAGAAGGTTTTTAATAAGGTCCCCACATAAGAGCATGCAAAATTATAGCGCGTGAGATTGAATGTCATGTACTGAAAAACTGGGAACTGGTTGGCAGACTAGAAGCAAACAGTATGTATTAATAAGACTTTTGCTGAGTGGCAGGCAGTAACGAGTGGGATACCACAGAGATCAGTGTTTGGGCCAAGGTATTCACAATATATATTAATGATTTAGATAAGAGAACTACATGTCATATCTCCAAGTTTGCAGATGGCACAAAGCTGGGTGGGAGGATATGCTGTGAGGGGGGTTCAGAGATACTTCAGTGTGATATGAACAAGTTAATTAAGTGGGCAAATATATGGCAGATGCATTATATTGTGGATAAATGTGAGGTTATCCACTTTGGTAGCAAAAATAGGCAGGGATATTATTTATCTGAATGGCGATAGATTGAGAAAGGGGGAGGTGCAATGGGACCTGGGTATCTTTGTACTCCAGTTGCTGATAATAAGCATACAGGTGCAGCAGGCAGTGAAGAAGACAAATGATATGTTGGCCTTCATAGCGACAGGATTTGAATACTGTAGCAAGGATGTGTTGCTGCAACCGTACAGGGCATTGTTAGGAACACACCTGGATATTGTGTGTAGTTTCGGTTTCCTTATCTATGGAAGCATGTTCTGGCTATTGAGGGAGTGCAAAGAAGGTTTACCAGACTGATTCCTGCGATGGTGGGGCTGACATACAGGGAGAGACTGGGTCAGTTAGGAATGTATTTACTGGAGTTTGGAAGAATGGGAGTGGGGGGATCTCATAGAAACCTATAAAATTCTAAGAGGACTAGACAGGGTAAACGCAGAAAGGATATTCTCACTGACTGGGGAGTCCAGAACCAGGGGTCATAGTCTACTGATACAGGGTAGACCTTTTAGAATAGAGATGACCAGGAATTTCTTCACCCAAAGAGTGATTAACCTGTGGAATTCTCTGCCACAGGAAATTGTGGAGGCCAAAACGCTGAAGACTTTCAAGAAAGGTGGAGGCTAAATTCCCAGGACTAAAGGGTGAAAGGATATAAGGAGAAAACAGGAACAGTGTACTGAGTTGGATGATGAGGTCTGATCGTATTGAATGGCAGAGCAGGCTTGAGGGGTCAAAAAGCCTACTCTTGTAATCTCTATTTCTGTTTCTTGAGTTCTCTGACCAAAGGTAGGATCGCCCCACAGCCTCTATCAGGGGTAGGGCAAGGAGGCACATTCCAAATCCATCCCAGCTGGAATGTTGATTGAATCCCATGCAATCAGCAACAACGCAGTGCAAATTGACCATCCAGCCAACTGAGCCTAAGTGGCTGTCCAAGTTGCTGTGGCTCATACACTTTGGTATCTATGTTGTAGCCTAGGGTGATGAATAGTGAGGAGAGGCTCCAATTTCTTTCCATCACATGGCTGACCAGGAATCTCTCTGCTGTTGCTGCTTAATATTGATGTATTAGAAGGAAATACAAGTTGATACACAAACCTTTTGGCAGAGTTATGAATGCACCTTCTTTAACTGACCATTAACTCCTGGAAAGCGACCTGAAACTGGAACTTCTGGCTCAGAGGAAGACTTGCTATGTCACCAGACCTCTGAGTTACTGCTGTTCTATTGGACATTTTTATACCATTTGGTCTATCAAGCAGCCATCTAAACTTGCCTGATAGGAAGAATAGTATGAGTGATGGTCAGTTCTAGCATTTGAATCATACGTTTCTGAACTGAGTGATTAACAGCTTCCTGCTTTGCATCTTTTATTTTGCACCTCACAAATTTCAGCTATATCTATCAAGATGATTTCTGATCATCTATGATTGTGAAGAAGCTAGATTAATAAAAAGTATTTTACAATTTGAAAATATATGTTGTCAATTGTAGAATAAAACCTGTTTAATAACTCTTGACTTTTTATCATTTTCAATAGGAAAGGAAATGCTCAGATATTGCCGACAGTTCAAGTGAAATGAATGTCAGAAAAAATAACACAGGACTTGGTACAGTAAAAGAACATGGTGTTTTATTCCAGTGCAGTCCTGAAAACTGGACTGATCAAAAGAAACCACCACCAGTCATGTCCTACTGGGTTGTTGGGTGAGTCAGCATCATCTTGATAAATAGCTATCATTTTTGGAGTTCTAATTTCTTAGTTTGTTCTTTTTACAATCTAACTGTCATCTCTGAGATTTAGTTGTGATATTCACAAGAACTAACTAAGCTCTTAAGGTTCCTGAGTATTGTTCCGAATATATCATTCAAAAACAGGCTTTTCATTCCAACTATCTGATTTGATGTCTCTGGTCTTGCCTTATTCAATCTGCCTCATCCCAGTCTTTCAACACAAGTTAGGTTCTCCCTTCTTCCATTTACTGATTTAATTTTTGCGGTTTGAAAGCATCTGAACTATTTGGGTCCGTTGTTGTTATTTATTTATTTATACAGTTTGGATGAGAATTTAGGAGGCATTATAGTATGTTTGCGGATGACACCAAAATTGGTGGTGTAGTCGACAGTGATGAAGGCTATCTGAGTACAATGGAATCTTGATCAACTGGGCCACTGAGCCGAGGAATGACAGATGGAGTTTAATTCAGATAAATGCGGGGGTTGCATTTTTGTGAGACAAACTGGGGCAGGACTTACATAGTTAATGGTAGGACCCTGGGGAGTGTTGTCGAACTGAAAGACCTAAGGGTTCAGGTACGTAGTTCCTTGAATGTGGTGTCACAGGTAGACAGGATGGTGAAGAGGACATTTAATAAGCTTGCCTTCATCAGTCAGTTTAATACAGGAGTTGGGACATAATATTCTGTCTGTACAAGACATTGGTAAGGCCACGTTTGGAGTACTGCATACAATTCTGGTCTTCCTGCTGTAGGAAGGACATTATTAAACCGAAGGGTGCAAGAAAGGATTTACAAGCTGTCACCAACACTGGAAGGTTTGAGTTGTATGGAGAGGCTGGATTAGCTGGGACTTTTTCCACTGGGGCTTAGGAGGCTGAGGGGTGACCTTTATAGAGGTTTATAAAATCATGAGCAGCATAGATGAAGTGGAGGGCTGCTTGGATGACAGCGGGGGGAAAAGAGCGTTGTTTGAAAAAGGCGGACATTTGGGATGCTCCACTCCAACCCGCCCGGTACCATCCCCTGTGACCATAAAAGATGCACACCTATCCAGATACCACCTCCCTCACCTCCATTCAAGGCCTTAAACAGCCCTTCCCAGTGAACAGAGCTTCACCTGCATCACCTCCAACCTAGTCTATTGCATCCGGTGCTCCAGATGTGGTCTTCTCTACATCGGTGAGACCAAACATAGACTGGGTGACCGTTTCACCGAGCATCTCTACCTGGCCCGTAATAGCCAACCTAGCCTCCCAGTCACCGCCCATTTCATCTCCTCGCCCCCCTCCCCCTCCGACATGTCCGTCCTCAGCCTTCTCCTGTCTTGCAGTGACTCGGAACGCAAATTTGAAGAACAACACCTTATCTTCCGCCTGGACACCCTACAGCCCGAAGGACACCATACATTGAGTTCTCCAATTTCAAATAACCTTGCGACCCATCTCTTGCCTTCCCTTCCAGCCCCACCTCCTCCCTTCCATTCTACCTTCTGACTCTCCCTTCCAGCCACTAACCGGACTCATCCCTCCAATCGACCAACCAGGTCGTACTTACTACCAGTGTCCACCTATCACTACTATTCAGCCTCCATCCCCATTCCCCCCTCCCACCCACCCCCCTTATCTGCAGCTCCTCCTACCCCCATATCCAATCCTGAAGAAGGGTAATACCTGAAATGTCGACTGCTCCTTTCCTCCAGATGCTGCCTGGCCTGCTGTGTTCTTCCAACCTTCTGTTTGTCTACCTTGGATTTCAGCATCAGCAGTTTTTTTTTTGTCTCTAAGTTAGATTGTTAAGTTTACTGGGTCTGTTATACAGACTAGCTTGACCCCAGTCTGACCTTTGAAGGCAAATGGAATTCAATTTGGATAAGTGTGAGTTGAGTATGAGGTGGCTGTCAGCTATTCCTTTCCAACAGAAGATTTATCCCCTCTGCTTGTTCCTACAGCTGCCCATCACCAGAAAAGTGGATCTCACTTAACATGGCAATGTCATTTGGAGTTGTGGTCACTGCTGTGATATGTTTGCATTTCTTCTTTTCAGACAGTAATTCTTGAGATTATCCATGTTTTCTAACATTGCAAATTGCAAAAGTTAGAACGTATTTGACCAGAAAGATGGTAATCTTGTTCAGTTTCGTTTACCAAGGAAAAGAAAGTGGAGCAGAATATTTTTTAAGTATTTATTCTAGCTCCTTTCCACTTTGGGGTTAGCAGTGGGTATCCTGAAGAGGACTGCTCATTCACAGACACTGCTTTCTAAAGATGTCTTTATTCAAACATAGTTACTCAGTGATTTTCCTGCATTTGTTACTGATGTACAGAATCTTAACTTGGGACTCTCAAGTATACAGTCCTGTCCCCTTCACCAATTCTCCATGGCTTAGGAAATTAGAGTGGTAACAGGCTGCACATGACTTGAGAAGTCTTGACGCACCATCATTGTTCATATGGTCTTGATGGGTTGGTGGCATTGGCTGTCAAGATAGACTACAATGACTGAGACCATCTTGCCGCTACAGTGGTTTTCTCCCTTCACAGCTGATGAGACTCCGCCAAGGACAAGGCTGTGAGCCTTGGAGTCCTGAGTCAGGATTCTACACACAGACGACAATGTCTGATGGCTGTTGAATACAGTCAGTCCTACGCTGGAGCAGATGAAAACAACATTTTTTTTATTCATTGGTGGGATGTGGGTGTCACTGGCTAGGCCAAAATATATTTCCTATCCATAGTTGCCCTTGAGAACATAGTGGTAATCTACAATCTTGAACCGCTGCAGTCCATGTGCTGTAGGTAGTCCAACAATGCCATTACAGAAGGCATTCACATTTATCACATTATCTCATATTTACGTGTGTCAAACTTTATTTGTGGCTTAATTACCCAGTCTTCATGGCCTCTAAATTTGTCTCATGATGTTCTACACTAGTCCTCTGTGTTATCTGCACTCCTCAGTTCTGAAAATATTGATATTGTGAAAAATGAACACAAGACCAAGTCATTAATGTAAAATTTAAGAATTACAGTTGTCGCAGCACCGATTCTTGTGGAATATCACTTTTTATCTTTCTCCAATCTGAACAACTACACTTTCCCTCTTACTTTGCAGTTTATAGTCAATTTGCTATCCTTTCAGCTGTTTCTCCCCTAACCATTGATGCCCTAAACTTTTGTCATGACCCTACTGTATGATACTTTAACAAAGGCCTTTTGGAGAATTTTCTCAGGTTTGACTTGTACCTGGAAAACAGTAGCTTGAGATTATCTGATGCAAGATCACAAGTCATAGAGTATTTACAGCATGGAAAAAGACCCTTTGGCCCATTGTGTCCATGCCAGTCATCAAACATCTGTTCTTATCCCAATCAACCTAAAATGTTAATACTGTTTCTCTCTCCACAAATGCTGTCTGATCTAAGTATTTCCAGTATTTGTTTGATTTTATTTTAGATTTTCAGCACCCATAGCATTTTGTTTTTGTATTTGACTTGTTTTCCTCTTTGATAATATGCTTTCATTTGTCTCCCTTATTCTTGTAGTTTCTATTCACCTTTCCTCACTGAAAGAACAGTGTAAAAAAACTATTCCCAGGCTGCCTTCAATATCTGATATTAAGAATTGCACAAGAACAGTAGATCAACCTATCCAATGTTCATTGTCTTCCGGTAGGGGACATTTGGCCTCTGCTCAGCACATCCAGACAGCAACCAAGTTTAGATGGCAATTCAATGTGAGAAATTGTAAATAACAATTTTTAACAGAATATGTTTGTTGACTTTGGATTTACTTTTAATTTTCTTGATTTTATTTCTGCTGCCGGCTTATTACAGTAATGTTTCGTGAGTGATTGAGAGGAATCCATGAAAATATTTTGGAAATTAGAAAATAAATTCTTCACATGTCGACTCAGCCAACATATTCTGTCACACATCCATTGTACCACATAGGTACCAAATTCACTCCTAAATCTAATCCCAGATCTGTGTAGAGTTAACTGGATGATGGCAGATTGTAAACTAATCGACCTGCACCATACTCGTGTTTTGGTTGTTGACCACCATTCTTGTGCTTGATTTCGATTTCTATTTAGCTGTATCTTTTTGTTGAGGTAGGAATGTCAGATAAAATTCATTATTTGAATTCAAGTCCTAAACAGGGAAGCAGTAGTGGCTCTGTGTTCTGTTGCCAGGACTAGATGAGATCCAACAAAGTTTAAAACTTTGTTTGCCTTGTGTGTGTGTGTGTGAGAGAAATAAATGAATTATTGATCATGTGGGGTTATGTAATCTGCATAATATAGTCAGTTTTTTTACAGTGAAACGGTAAAATATTACTGAATTCATCCAATTTTCTTCATGCTACAGTCCTAATGATCCTAAGTTGCTGTTAAATTTCAAAATCATAAATAACCTGATTTACTATTTATAGTACTATTTTCCCATGTCAGGGAGAAAGAAGATTAATTTGAAATGTTCCACCTCTCCATTAGTGAATTGGTTTTATCACTATAGATGTTTCAAACGGAGTGTCCAATATAAGAGTACGCTGTTGTCCATTTAAATGATATCTGTGTCATCTTGAATTTCCTTGCAATTTTTCATCATGGTTTGCAAGCAAATAAAGAGGATACCAAATTTTTTTTGGAAAACATACCTTCAATGAGTGAAGATCTATCGAACTGTATAAGTGTTAAAGTACAGGAATGCAATTTTGACTTTTTACAAAATGTATTAAAAAGACTGAGCCACGTATTTAGTAAAATGTTTTATTTTCATTTCATTGCAGAAGACTCTTATTAGATCCTCATCCTCAAGAGTTTTATGTGTGTTTCCATGATTCTGTGATGGAGATTGCTGTGGAGCTTGCTTTCAAACTGTCTTTTGGATTGATTACATAATGCAAATGATGGTCTACATGCAGTTTAGTTCATTGACACATTCCAAAATGTACAGGAAAGTAGGCTTATGAAAATCACATGATCCATAAATTTTGTTAATGAAACAAGTACTCTATATTTATACAATCTGAGAGTGCTAACTGACTTATCATGGCTTGTCATTGCTCTGAATATAATTATAATCTAAATGGAAGGATATAGATTTATAATGTGTTTTTTTTTACTGGATTTTGCTTGTTCTGACTGTATATGTATATGTGAAATTTGTTTTTCAACTTTTAGTTGAAATGTGCCTTTGATAATTATTGCAAAAATTCTCTTTATGCAAAATAGTCTATGTTATTTATAAATGACCAATTAAAATGTTAATTTTATTGACAATCATTGTAGTATTTTATTCCGTATGAATGGCATTACAGATCATCCATGCTCCCAGGAATGAAACAATAAAACTTGGCAGTATCAGGAAAATGAAAGAAAGACACGAGTTTTACTTTTTTAATAAGGGTTTTGACAAAAGATTGGACAATGGACTATAGAGGGTGCATTACTTCACTGGAAAGTGATTTTGGTCTGGAGGATGTTACTTGAGGATCTGAGTAAAATAGCCTTACTGAATTCAGAAACAAGATCATAAAATAGAGATTTGGTACGATAATTGAAAAAAGGGGTTTTAAAATTCTAAACTTAATTTTAAGTTTTCTGAGATTGAATTTTACATACGCAAGTCCTTTTAATTCTGATCTCTGTATATACAAATGAATGTTTTTCTCAAAAAAATGCGTACATCCTTTCTGCAAATTCAACCCTTTTCCATTGCCGTAAATGTTACACATATCAAACATTTTTCTTTATTCCTTGTTATTTGCAATTTGTTTCTATATTTACAGAAGCAATTGAAAATATTTCCTATTTAACTGTTCATGTACTTCAAAGTTGGATCACATCACTATATATGTTTATTTTCTTTAACTAATTGTACTTTTTTATTTATTTAAGTAAATGCCTCTTATTTTTCCCTATTTACTCATCAGATATCGGCATCACCAGCAAGGCCATAATTTATTGCCCATTTCTAGTTTCCTTTGAAATGTTGACGGTGAACGATAAGCTCCTATAATCTGTTTGCTGTAGGTGCTGTGTTACTGTTGTTAATGGAATTACAGGATTTTAATGCAATGATAATAAACTGTGAAATATTTCCTAGTCTGGATGAAAGTTTATCTTCAAAAAGAACTTCTAGGTGATAGTGTTCATGTGTTTGTTACCCTCATACTTTATGTAGTATAGGTCAGATATTTGGAAGGTACTATTCAAGAAGTATTCATTGTTCCTGCAGTGTATCTTGTAGGTAGTACATAATGCTGCGTGAGATATTTGGTGGTGAAGGGAGTAAACTTCTAAGATGGTAGATGGGGTGCCAATCAAGCAGTTACTTTCTCATGCATGGCAAATTTCTGAATGTTGTTAGAGCAGCATTCATCCAGGCACATGATTATTTCATCACTCTCATAATGTGTGTTTGGTGGAGAGTTTAAGGAGTCAGAAGATTAGGTATTCATCAAAGGAGCAGGTGAGGTGAAGATCCTCAGCCAGACAGTCAAAATCAGTTATAGGATCAGGCAAAGAAGGACCCTGTGGCAGGCAGTTAGAGACAGACCAAGATTCAGTGGAGCTGATTGGAATAGGTTCTTGATGCACTACAGCGAAGGAACTAGCTGTTTGTTGAGTCTTCATAAGTGGTTAGGGTCTCTATTCTTAAATTTTACATGTTATATTTTTAGTATACTGCACAAGTTGCTGATACGGTTAATAAAATATACTAAAAGCAATATAAATAATTGAATTGAAATGTCTGAAGCTCGTGTACTTCATGCACTCTGCGGTGGATGGGGATGTTGCACATTGCCCGAATTCTTTGCACAAGGAGGCAGTCGTACCACTTCAGATAGGGTCTTCTGATCTGTTTGGTGAGCAAAGACAGGATAGGGTAATTATGAGTAAATCATTTAAGAGGAGCCAGAATGCCAGAAGTGTCAGCCTCTGCAATTGTCAACTGCACTTGAGGTTCTTCCAGCTTGTTTGGATATGAGTGGGGGCTGCAGAGTATAAACTCACCATGACGCCATTTAAGGAAGCCATTTAAGCAGTGGGAGCAATAAGGAATATACTTTAGGGGATATATGGAGAGTGATTCACACTATTCTCTGTAGAAAAGAGGAAGAGTTCAGGCAGCTGTTTGCAGGCCCAGTGCAAGATTTCGCAACACATGCTCAGGGCTCAAAAGGATCTAGCAGTGGAAGCAGGAAGATTCAGAAGGTATCAATAACCTAGAGGGAATTAGAAGAGGGGTTCTGCACAGAAAATATGAGGAGCTGTGAGTGCATGATGTTAGAAAGCAGAATCACAAAAGTTAAAATCTCTTGATTAGCATAGGATACTTAAAAGTTTGAGATTAAATACATGGCTCAAAGTGGGTTCCAGTGGTGGGTGACTGCACCAGTACTGGGGAAAGGGGGGCAATACCCTTAAGACAGTTTACACCTGAAGTGCGCTGTGGCCACAGTTCTTGCGATCTGCATAATTAGGGAAATACAGATGATTTTAAAGTGAATGAGAGGGGTAGCAAGGGACCAAATGTAGAAACATAATTGCCAATATTACTATTTCCATCTCTTACCTTGACTCCACTGTTTAGTATGCCACACGTGTCGCATATCAACAAGTAAAGATAAAGTAAGAGAGGAAAATAGTCATATGAGTAATCAGGATGAAAGAATAGCAGGATAGGGCAGAGAGAGAAAAAAAAAAACTTTGGGATACACCAGCAATGAAGACTAGATGTCACAAAGACAAATGACAAAACTTTGCATCTGAATGCGTATAACATTAATAACAAAGTAAATGAATTGATAGCACACATTGAAGTGAATAAATCCAGTTTGATAGCTATTATGGAGACATGGTTTCAGGATGACATGGATCAGGTACTGAATATTGAGGGGTATCAGACATTCAAGAAAATTAGGAGACCGATTTTGCTAGGAATACTCGATACTACACTCTATCAAATGCTGTTCACCAAACCCGTCTCTGGAATTCAGCTCTTGTGCCCATTGTTACAGCTTAGGTTCTCCTAATTTTTTTCCACTGCGTGGACCAATTGGCATGCACAAAACTTCTGAACAGAAGCACGGTTTAAGAGGGAATATCGATAACAACTAGATGATGACTGGCAACTCAGCTCCCCTCTATTCAATTTAAGTTGAAAGATTCTTTTTAGCACGGTGCTATACCTTTCTCCAATTAAAATGTAGTTAACTAGTTCGCCAAAAACAATAAGGAACCAATTGAGGTTTCCTTGAATGAAAGAAAGAACAATTTTAATATCTGCTAACCCTGAGAAAAATAATGATGACATGACGTGACATCAACATACCTGCACCCAAGTATAAAATTGAAAACATAGTGTCCAGTTCAAATAGAAGATGAAAGATATATACAGTTTAGAGTTCTTAAGACATAAAGGTTTTAAACAGAGACTATTTTTGTTTTAATTGATGTCTTTTATCCTAGACTGCACTGAATATTACTTTGTACTTTGAGTTCTTGGTGTTCTGATGTTTATATTTATTTAGATCTGTCGCCGGGCACATTTCCTTCTGGAGAGGCTGATTGAGCACTCTTTCCAGCCAATTCCAGTAATAAAACTGTTTCCCTTTCTGTGCTTGAAATTAAAAGGAGCTCCCTGAAATGTGCATAATTTGTGTATTCCGATGTCTAAGGTTATTGTTTCCAAGCTTGATAAATGTAGGCAATGTTTTTCATCTCCTATAGTAAACAAAATTATCATACACATGTAAATCAAAATGGGAGATGTGGATTCCTTCACCCCTGGCTATATGGCCTAATTTTGTTCATTCCATACAAAACAAAATTGCAGATGCTGGAATTCAAAACAGAAATTGCTGGAAAAACTCGGCAGGTCTGGCAGTATCTGTGGAGAGAAAGCAAAGGTAACATTTCAGGTCCAATAACCCTTTTTCAGAACTCTCCACATATGCTGCCAGACCTGCTAAGTTTTTCCAGTGATTTTTCCGTTGGTCATTCCATGTTGGTTTACAAAATGTGTTGATATTATGGCTTTAAGAGGTGTATTTTGTCCTTTCTTTTATACAAAGCGGGGTTGAGACTGAGTTGACAAGCAGTCTGCTTCAAGCCAATAAAGTAAATGACTTGAGGCCTTGGGGTTTTTTTTAAAAGTTGAAACAAAAGAAGCAGCCTGAAGGGGTAGCGCAAGCTCTTACAGAACCAGGATTTTAGTTTTACCTTTCAGTAGCTGTTGGGGTTGTGAAAGCCGCTACATCTCTCTCTTGTTTGCTACAGCTAAAAGCTTGGGTCTTTTCCCTGCTGCTAGAATTGCATGTGAGACAATCTATGTTATTGCCTTTGCCAAGGTTGTGCTTATGGGATGTTACTGTATTGAAACAGTTAATGAGTATTTTATAGACCTGCACTTAAGCCAATTTGTTTCTTTTTATTTTGTCTGTATTTTAACTATAAAGCTAAAGTGTGTTTTGCTTCAAGCCTAATAGTTTGACCAATCGAATTGCATCTAGAATGCAACACCTGGTACTTGCCTTTAAAATGAAAAAATGTTAAGGGCTAGGCTATCTCCTTGACATGTTTTGAGGGAGTTTGGTCTAGCCCACAACAAAAGCTTGGCTGACCTGTGTGAATCATAGAATCCTTTCAGCCCATCAAGTCCATATCAACTCTCCAGACAGCATTCCACCCAGACCTAGTCCCCTGCCCTATTCCTGTAACCCTGCATTTATCACAGCTAATGAACACTATGGGCAATTTAGCATGGCCAATCCACTTAACCTGCACATCTTTGGATTGGTGAGAGGAAACTGGAGCACTAGCGGAAACCAATGCAGACATGGGGAGAATAATGCAAACTCTGCACAGACAATCACCTGAGGCTAGAATCAAACCCAGGTCCCTGGCACTGAGAGGCAGCAGTGCTAACCACTGTGCCACCCTGTGGACAGCTAATTGTTGTGGACAGTTTAGGTTAGTGCTTTTTTCCCTTTATCATTGTAGTTATAACTAAAACTGAGAAAAACTCAAACTGGATATCATCAAGCAGGTATTGGTGTGACTTGATAGAACCTGTTTTGAGAGAGGTGGTGGGTAACTTTTCCCCACTTCTTTACATCTTGGCTGACCACAACAAGATACGTTTAGAGCAGTGTTTTAAACTTTTCAGTGTTGTGTTTTAGAGGACTTTTTGGTAAGTTGAAATCAAAAGAAAGGCTAGAAGTTCATTTACAAAACACATGAACAATAAATACAACAAAACACCCATTCC